ACAGAGATGCCAACTCAGTGCCCAGCTGTCATCAGCAAGGTGCACAGAGAAGAGGAGGCTGGGCCTCGGTAAGTCCTGGGTAGGCCTCAGGAGAGGGGGCTCATTCCATAGGGCACCTCATTCTGTAAGGCAGGGCAGTTAGCAGCCACCACCGTTTATTAATTCTGACTGAATCTTATTTTCTTCCCACTGGCTCATGATTCCTTCCAGGACAGAGAGGAACAGCCTCTTCCCTGAAACAGACTAGTGGAAACAGGTGAAGAGTGTGAAGGCTCAGAGCAGGGAGTGCCACCAGGACTTTCACAGAGTCAGGGCCCGGCATAGGCCCTTTCGCCAGAGTGTATTCTGGGATGCTGCCCAGCTGACATAAGAAAAAGGCTAGATGAATGGAAGACTCTGAATTCAAAAAATGCTGTCAAGTGTCTCCAATGAGGGGCTTTTCAGAACATTCACTGAATCTTCACTACACATTATCAGCTTGTACTCTGACATGTTCTCATGTGTATTTGGTCACAGGACTCTTGTGAAGCATCTCACAGGCACAACATTCCTTGGAACACATGTGAAAAGCTGGTTAGTTCCTCTATCGAGAGCTTCAACACTAAGCTGACCTTGCAGGTTTTTTAAATCGTAGTATTTACAAGGGCTTAAACTGGACTTATAAACATATGCAGTCCTTTGACAGTTAAAAATTCCATGGACCGACAAAGAAGGGTGTCTGAGTGAAAAACTGCAAATTGCAAAGAATGACAATACAGCATTATCTGCAGGCAGATGCAGACACAAGCACTTGGAGGAAAAGCAAGCCCAGCTGTGAACAGCGGACACCTAGACATGAGGCAACTTGCTACTTTCTGTTTTTGTAATGCTTTTTTAAATAACGTGCATTAAAGAAACGACTTCTCGCCGGGACTGGTTTGGCTCAATGGCTAGAGCGTCGGCTTGTGGACTGAAGGGTCCCGGGTTCGATTCCAGTCAAGGGCATGTACCTTGGTTGCGGGCACATCCCCAGTAGGGGGTGTGCAAGAGGTAGCTGATCGATGACTCTCTCTCATCGATGTTTCTAACTATCTCCCTTCCTCTCTGTACAAAATCAATAAAATATATTAAAAATAAATAAATAAAAAATGGTATATGTGAATAAAAGAAACAACTTCTCACTGCCCACCCATACTGCCACTTTAACAAAGGAACTCTGAGAAGGGAGGTTCCAGAGGTAACATATCTTGGCCTCCATCTCCAGCTTTGGTGTGGTCACTGAAGTGAACAGGCTGCAGGGATGACTGAGGAGGCTGTGTCAGCGCTGGGGCCTAGGGGTACTCAGAACCACCCTCCCAGTGTCCCACAGACCCCCGAACCTTCTGTGTCCCATGACAATCATGCGTAGCTTGTCCCCAAGGTCCTGCATCTCATGGATCTGGACAAATGTTCCTGTGTGGTAGATCTCGTCCAAGCTCTCGACCACGTCGGACTCGTTACTGAGGGAGAGAGACACAAAGGACATCAGCACAGGCTCTCTAATTCCCAAGGAGTGTGTCAGGCTAGGTTGGAGGAAGGAGAGACAAAAAACTCAACTGGCCTGGACTGGAAACTAACAGTGACCTTGCTCCCACAGGGGCTCTGGAGCCCAGTAAAGTACCTGCCAGCTAAGGTTCTGCTAACTGCACTGACCATGAGGCATCCTGGATGGAATTTTCATTCCATTCCAAAATCTCAGGACAGAGCCTACTCAGGACACCTTAGACTTCTCACTTGGAAGTGGAGCTAATTTCTGCCTGGAGTCAAGATGGACACATCCAAAGCAGTGATATCTGCCCCCTTCGCTCTGTGCTGACACGGCCTTGCAGGTGTGCGTGTTTTTAACACCAAGGGTCCTCGAGGCTAAAATCCTCCCCCCCAATATCTCGACTATAGCCCAGCCCTGTAAGCCAATCCAGGCTATGAAAGAATGCTTGGCTCTAGGCTGAGCACCCTGTAGGCTCTACTCGGTTTCTTTCAGGTCAAAGGTCAGAGGTCCAGGCTACTTTAGGGAGAACTGGTGGTGAGCTACACTCCAGGGCGACTTCAGCAAAGGAGTGAAGGAAAAATCACACTTACGTGTCATCTCTCTTTAGAAAGACGCCGGCATATGGCTGGGCAAGACGGACTTTCCTTCTTAGCAGCTCAACCAACTTCTTATTTTTAACCTAGCATGACAATGACCCCAAAGTGAAATGCAGGGTAGGTTTTCTAGCTGACATTTTGATAGCAGCTCTAACAATTTATATATTATTCTCTGGGGACATGCTAATCTGATCCAGGTCACTAACCAACTTAGTCCAGGAACCCCTGAACCAAAAACAAAGGACAGATCTACGAAGAAGAGAGTGGTACAGGGGTGAACAACTACACTCCTCAGTGGTTCTCCCCCTTCCTAAAGAAAACTCAAAGTAGACAAATGGCCAGAGCTAAGCAACTGATTCAATGTCAAGAGCTGTTTCAGTCTAAACTTTACTGATTTCATCAGAGTCAGAACTACACTATATGTGTGTAATTGAAATGTGGCCCACGCATAGGATGATAACATCCTTTAATTTTCACTGAAAGTATTTCCCAATCACATCTTTACCCTATTTATTGATCAATGAAACCCCCAGGATCATAGCACGTTCTCTTGATGTCATTATGGCGACAGGTAGAGGGCTAATGCTGTTTCCTAGGAAACAGTTGATGGGGGGGGAGGGGGAGGTGCACAAATGTCTTTTAGGGTTCAAATGATTTCTTTCAAGTCTGAGTTAATTACCAGACCAGACTGCCTAAACTTAATGGGTCTCAATCTGTGGTGTACATAGTTTCTGATGCAGGAAATATAGAGGGCCTGAGAATTTGCATTCTAAACAAGTTCCCAGGTGATGCTGCTGGTTCAATCCCCAAAATTTGAGAAGCAGTGTTTTAACTCTAACAGCAGCTCTTAACTTAGGGTCCTGACCTCAGAGGTCTGGTAGGGTAGAGATGGTGGTCAAAGAGGGGAAAGAGGTCTCCAAGGCAGGCTTCTGAAATGTCTGAAAGCCCCACATAAAAAAACAACAGGTGCAGCTGCTTACTCCTGAGGCATACTAAGCACCAGGCACCATTCTAGATTCCTTACAGGACCTCACTTTATTTCCCACAACCACTCTACTCTAAGACAGAAGATACTATTATGTCCATTTCACAAATGAGAAAATGAAGGTCCAGAGGAACCACTTGCCCAATGTTACAGAACTAGGGACTAGGGTTGTTGGAGTCAGCTACAGGATCTTACCCGGGGGCCTCCAAATAACCACTACTCAACATCAAGGAAGGCCCTTGCAAGAGCAGCTCAGGCAGACATAATCAGCAGTGCAAAACAGGAGGGGGGGGGGGGGGGGCCTCTTCTGTCCCCTCCTCGCTGGCTGTGTCCCTCTGTTTTGTTCCTTTCCAAGGCATCCCTGAGATTTACTTAGCAGAAACTGGGGTGAGGGGGAGAAGCTGGAGGGTGAATACAGAGGTTGACTCATTGTATGACCTTGCTTAGACAGTTAAAGATAACCTTTCTCCTCCATGGAGTCCAGTTTCCACATCATTTAAAAAGGAGTGGGGTGGGGGAGGGAGGTATTTGTGTCCTTCCTACTCTAAAAAGGCGAGTTCCTTGCACTCACAATGTTTTCTCTCTATTACATCACCCTAGTTCCCCACCCAACCCTCCCTTTAGGTTTCTTAGTCTGAAACGATCTTGTTTCCTGCCTCTTTCCATTACAGCCTCAGCTGTACCTCAGTGCTGACGACATGGTAGGGGGTTAAGACTCAGTTGAGTGAAAAAACACACACATAGATACACCCCTCGGAGAAGATTCCACTCCCACCTCCCTCATCAGATCCTTGCTCTATTACTCCCTGTAGTACTTATTATCTTCCAGCACATACTTTACTTACTAATCTTGTTAATTACTTCTTGCTTCTCACTAAAATGTGAGCTCCAAAGGCAGGAATATTTGTCTTTTTCACTGCTGTACCCATAACAGCTAGAACTGATCTTGGCACATGACCTAGAAATACTTGTTTAAGAAAGGAATTAGTCCTGATCCCAAAGGGGCTCATAACCAGAAAGGCCACTCTGGGGAGACCGGGTTACAAAACATTGACCAACACCTGCCGAAAAGTTACTGGCCGCAAGATTGCTTTTCTGGGTCTTCTCGTAGCAGGATTCCTATGATTGCACGCTAAGTCCTAAGCTCGTTGGGTTCAACTCCCCTTAAGAGATCCTAGAGGAGGCATTTGACTCCAGTTCACCAAGCTAGTGAGTGACAAGCAGACAAAATTCCGACTCCTGCCTTCGATAAACTTCGTGTCTAAAACACTGTCGATAAACGAGGGTGCTCAACTTTCTCTCGGCCCAACTCGCTGCTTGCAGAGGAGGGGAGACGGAGGACCACGTAGGAGATCTCATTACCTCGATAATCTTGATAAAGCGCGGGAACACCGGGTTGCGGGTGACGGCGATGAGTGGCAGGTGAGGGAACACCTCCGGGATGGTCATGGGTGTCAGCGCCGTTATAACGGGGCCTTCCCCGCCGCCCGCGCTGCCCCCCGCGCCGGCGGCGCCATCCTCCGCGCCGCCCTCCGGGGCATCCTCGCTACCCGAGAATCCGCCGCCGCCGCCGCCGCCGCCGCGGCTGTTAGCCTCCCAAAGCCCACGCCACTGGCCCGCAGCCGTGGGGCCACGGCCCCAAAGCGCCCACGGAGGAGAGGCGTCGCAGGCCCGCCGGCCTCTGGGCAACCACGCTCCAGCCGCAGTTTGGGCCCGCCCCCCGGCGACAGCCAGCAGTGGCCGCCGCAGCGCCCAACACCGCGCAGCGCCCCACAGCCGCACGTAGCCTGTGCCCGCCGCCATGGCCCGGCCATCCTGGTGGCGCACGCGGCTTGCGTCATTTCCGCTCACAGGACCGCCGCGCACGTGACGTCGGGAGCGTGCTCCGGTGCCCGGGGGGCGGGGTCCCGGAAAGAAGAATTGAGCGGACTGAGGCTTGGAAGAAAGTGGAGGCGGGGCCTGGAAAGGGGGCGGGGTTCAAGGTCCCTCCACAAATCCACCTCTTCCAGCCAACCAGCTGGCACCTGCCAGGCCTCTTCGGGTCACGTGGAGGTGAGCACGCGCTTTCACCCGCAGGAAAAGGACCAACTGTGGCTGAAAGTGAACCTTCGGGAACATGTGGAGAGCCTCGTGCACACGTGGGCGCTGACAGGGCGTGCGAGTGATGGGCGCATGCTCAGGCTCCTGGTGGGTGAATTCGAACTTCCTCGGGAGACACTGCGCTCAAGCTGAAGCTGTCAACGCGCACCCGCGACCCCGCGCGCACGCCCAAGCTCTCCGGACCGTTTCGGGGGACAACGCGCGCATGCTCAGACGCCAATGAGCCAGTGAGCGCATGCGCGTGTGCCTGCATGGGCGTGTCAGGTTCCTGAAGGGGGTGTGTTGAGGTGGGTGGATTTAGGCTTCCCAGGAGTCAAGGTGCGCATGCTCAGGACCCCTGGCGGCACCCGAAGCGGTGCTCAGGCTCTCTTCTGCGCATGCCCAGACTGTGAAGCAACATAGCGGCGGTTGAAGACAGCAGTGGTGGCGGCGTGCCTCTAACCTGATGCTGCTGTTGATGCTAGTCGCCATAGCGTCCTTGGGGCTCTGCTCGCGGGCCGGAGCTCAGCCGCTGTGCCGGTGCGGCCGCCCTTCCGGGTTTGGGGTGCTGTCAGGGGTCGGGAAGGAAGGTTGACTCCTCTGAGTGGAAGCCTGGACGGAATCCCGGAAGGATGGAGGTTTCCCAGTTTATTCTTCTAGAAATCAAACGTGATTCCTCCCCTTCTCTCACCCCATTCTAACCTATCCAGTCCATCCCCAAGTCCTCTTGTTGCCACTTCGAAACTTTGGACTGTTCCAGCCCTTCAAGCCACTTCCGCGGCCACCACCCTAGACTGTGCCTTCCTATCCATCATTCACGCAGGCAGCCAGAGGAATTGATAAACTAATTAGATCTCGTCATTCCTTTTCTCTGGTTCTCTGTGACACCCGGAATAAAACCCGAGTTCCTTGAGCAGCCTGCATTTCCTCGCATGATCTGGCCCCAGGTTTCTCAACAGCAGCGCAGCTGACATGTAGGGCCTGATCATTCTCTGAAGTGGGACCGCCCTGTGCACTGTTGGATGTTGAGAAGCATCCCTGGCCTCCATCCACTAGATGCCAGGTGTACCTACTTCCCCAGGCTTTACCCATCAATAAAAAAATGTCTCTAGGTGTTGCCAAGTGTTCCTAGGGATTTTACAACCACCAATCTGGTCCCTGCCCATGAAGTCACCGCTGTGGATACACTGTCCCTGAACACGCCAGACCAGATTCAGCTTTGGGGGTGGGAGAGACTTGGTGCAAACTATTTCCTCCGATGGTATGCTTTGCTTCCAGGTTTCTCCATGGCTTTTTCCTCATCCATCAGATCTCAATCCCGACTTAAAAGAATACTTCCTCATTTAAATCCCCCCTCCTCACATCTGCCTTTTACTATCAATCACTAACTTGTTATTTTCTGTTGACAATTTTTTTCTTCTGTTGCTGTCACTAGAAATAATAGCTCCACGAGTGTAGAATGTTTATTTTATTCGATCAATACCTAGAACATTATTAGGTTTCAGTAACTGTTATATTAGTGAAGGCTATGCAAGGTGCTATACGAGCTAAACAGAAGCTATAAAGCCCAGTTCTTGTCTTTGGGAAGCTCTGGCTAGAAGTGAGCTGTCACATTCAGCAGGGCCCTGTTTGATGATGAAATGCTGAATGTGTGCTTTGGTGCTTGGCCTCATTTCATCTTTACTAGTGATTCATTAACCTTGTAGGGTTGTGAAAACAGATCCCTCGAAATGAAAGACACACAGGTCTAAAGATACATAGCTAGTCCATGTGGAGTAGGGTTTTCCAGTAAGATTTATTAAGAGGATTTGTTTCAAAGCCTGTAAAGATTTCATCTAACTCTTCTACTTCTCCATACGAGTGAGTTCTCACAATGTGGTGCTGGGTCAGCAGGAATAGCAAGACCTGGGAATTTGTTACAACTGCAAGTCCCTGGATCGTCAGGTGAGGCCTAGCCATAGAAAGTTTACCAAGCCCTCTATTTTTAAAAAAATATATTTTATTGATTTTGTACAGAGAGAAAGAGAGAAAGATAGAGAGCTAGAAACATCGATGAGAGAGTCATCGATCAGCTGCCTTTGCACCCCCCCCACTGGGGATATGCCCGCAACCAAGGTACATGTCCTTGACTGGAATCGAACCCGGGACCCTTCAATCCGCAGGCCGACGCTCTATCCACTGAGCCAAACCGGTTTCGGCTACCAAGCCTCTAGGTGCTTTCAGCACACATCCAAGATTGAGACCCTCTGCTGTGAGGCATACCAACATACTTCCAGCCACCAACACTCCACATATACAAAAAGAAGACAAAAAACGATGAAGTAGGAATTCTTTTTAAAAAAATATATTTTATTGATTTTTTTTTTTACAAAGAGGAAGAGAGAGGGATAGAGAGCTAGAAACATCGATGAGAGAGAAACATCAATCAGCTGCCTCTTGCACACCCACTACTGGGGATGTGCCTGCAACCAACGTACATGCCCTTGACCAGAATCGAACCCAGGACCTTTCAGTCCGCAGGCCGACGCTCTATCCACTGAGCCAAACTGGTTTCAGCTGAAGTAGGAATTCTTAAGCTTCCTGATCTGGGGTCTGCAAATGGGTCTTTATGAGCACTTGGAAATATCTCCATTTTGGGGTATCCATGTGTCTCTGTGAGAGAGGAGGACCCCCAGTTTAATTAGATTTTCCAGGGGCTCCATAACCTGAAAAGCATCAAGAGCAGGTACTTCAGAGTTAACCTGGAGACAGTCTGGTGGGAGTCATGCTGAACATACAATAAGCATTGACAGAAGGTCTCTCTTGTTGCTTACCTCTAGGGTTCGCACAGTGAGGACAGGAAAGGCACTTAAAGATGGCCATCAAACTCCAAGGGTATGTGATTCCATATTTAATATTCAGTCTTTGCTTTTATCTAATAACTAGATCAGAATATTTCCCAGTATTTTTGTGGTGCCCGTGTTGTATTAGATATACAACATTAATCTTTACCATTGCACTTTGAAATAAAGGATTTATCTTTCCCATTTCACTAAAAAAGTAGAGATCCAAGTAACCTGGACAAAGCCAGGAGACAGAAGTGGGTTTAGAAATCAGATCACCAGTGTTCTATTTGATAAGAGATTTTAAAATCTGCAATAACAGTAAAGCAACAAGCAGACTGTAAAATTACAGCAGGGAGAGTAGGGAGATCTGGGGGAGATAAGAGATCAACCGAAGGACTTGTATACATGCATGTAAGTACAACTAATGGACACAAAACTCTGGGGAGGGAGGGTATGTGGGGGGGCAATGTTAAAATATGTACACAGATAATAATTTAATAAATACAAATAAATAAATAAATAAATAAATAATAAAATAAAATAAAATCTGCAATAGCATGGGAAGCAAATTTGTTTATATTTGTTTATATGATACTAGAGGCCCGATGCACAAAATTTGTGCGTGTAGTGGGAGGGGGTCCTCTCAGCCCAGCTCCACCCTCTTCAATCCTGAACCCCTAGGGGGATGTCCGACTGCTGGTTTAGGCCCAATCCTGGGGATCAAACCAGCAATCAGACATTCCTCTCACAATCTGGGACCACTGGCTCTTAACTCACTTGCCTGCCAGATCACTCTTAACTGCTGTTCCCCCCCCCCCCGCCCCGCCAGCCTGATCACTCCTAACTGCCTCTGCCTGCCAGCCTGATTGCCCTTAACTGTCCCCACCCCGCCAGCCTGATCACTCCTAACTGCCACCACCCCAACAGCCTAGTCACCCCTTTCTGCCTCCTTTTGCCAGCCTGGTCACCCTCAACTGTCCCCTTGCCAGTTTGGTCACCCCACACAGCCTGCTTTTCAGTCATTTGATCATCTCTCACTAACCCCCCTGCCGGCCTAGTTGCCCTACACAGCCTGCTGTTCGGTTGTTACTGTGTCCAGGACAATTTGCATATTCTTCTATTATTAGTATAGATAGTACAACACGTGTACCTAAAACACATGAAGAAATTGGGGTAATGAGATCACAATACAATATACAGATGATGTATTATAGAATTATACATTCAAAAGCTATAAATTTTATTAACCAATGTCACCCTAATAAATTCAATTTAAAAATAAAATGTATGAAGAAAAAATATTTCACTTGTTAAAATAAATTACCTATTGATATTACATCATTCGTGAAGAGGTGACAGCATTTCTAAATAATCTCAAAGTGGCTGGTTTCTAACCTGTTAGCTTTACAATTTGTCCTCTCGCCTCTAATAACTAACAATCTGGACATAAAAAAAGAACATGTGGAATGAAATGTGTTATGAATTAGCTTAAGAATATTTTTTCACTCTTTATTTTGAAATGATAGATTCATCACAGGTTGCAGAAATAGTTTCGAAACATCCCAGGCACCCTATACTTGGTGACATGTGACATAACCACAGTGTAATATCAAAACAGGAAAATGATATTGATACAGTGAACCTGCTTACTTCAGAGTTCACCTTTACATTTTCAATATTTCACATTAGGATACTGTTTTCATCAAGTGTTTATTATTACTGATATTAAGTTTTGCGACTATATGCCCAGAATGTCCTGTATTCTTCATCTGTGACAACACGCTTGATTAAACATCCTTGCAAGAAAAACTTAGCCCTGTTTCTAGGGTAAGTAACCATTTTATGGATTGTTACCATTATTTTTATTAAAAATGTTTTATTAAGATTCCTCCTCATTGATTCATTCAACAAAGGTTAAGGAAGATGGGTCTGTCCTGTGTTGGTAGATACTAGCCTTCAGGGAGTCCACAGTTGGGATGGAAGTCAGAGGAAGAGAGAGAAAGAGAACAGAGAGTACTTAATTCCAGTGCACTTTGCCCAATAAAAGTCATGTTTAGCCTGGCTGGTGTTGCTCAGTGGTAGAACATTGACTTATGAACCAGAAGGTTGAGGTCAGGGCACATGCCCGGTTTGCGAGTCCAATCCCCAGTTTGATGAGTGTAGGAGGCAGCCAATCAATGATTCTCTCTTATCGTTGTTTTTTTTTTTTTTCCTCTCTCTCTCTCTCTCCCTCTCCCTTCCTCTCTGAAATCAATTAAAAAAATATACATATATATTTAAAGCCATGTTTACCATCTGAACATTTTCTGGTCCCTGTGGGTCAGCATCAGTATGCTTTCAATAGGCCAGAGAGATCCTTTCTAAAAACTCAGAATAGTCTTCATTTGGTCTCTATTGAATGGCCTGTATCCTAATCAGATTCTTTTGTTTAGGCACTCTTTCTTAAGCCCTTTCAATGGTTCCTGCCATTTGGGTCCCAGTTGGGCTCTGTAAAGGAATTGCCCCAGTGTTATCTATAACCAACCACTTTTCATTAGCAATTAGCAGGATGTTCAAGATAGCCTGTGAGTATGCCCAGTTTGGATGGTGAATGGGAAAAAATGGAGTTGATAAGATGTGCCATTTTCTGAGGATCCTACCCATATGAAGGGTTGGAATTCTTCAAATTCAATAAATCTGAAGTAGGAAATTGAGTATGGGGCAGCAGTGGCCAGCAGGCTTGCCTCCCTAGTTTATTCTTTTTTTTTTAATATTGATTTTTTTACAGAGAGGAAGGGAGAGAAAGAGGGACAGAGAGCTAGAAACATCGATGAGAGAGAAACATTGACCAGCTATTAGGGAGAAGTTTTGAAGCCAGTTCTCTTCTCTGCACCATTAGTTTGGTTCCCTTTTTTCTTTTTGTTGAATCCTCATTGTATAAAGTACAGACACCTGGACATTTCCCTGGCCATTGGCAAAACAATTCCAACTGCATGATGGTGTAATTTAAGGAACCACTTAGAGGTCATTTTTCCTTGAGGTCTAAAGTATGCATAGGCCAAGCAGTGTTACAATAAAAAAACCAATCCCTTCTTAGTCATTGGATCATAGCTGTACATAGATTAATCTACTAAAATCTGGCCCAGTGGGCTCCCTTCAGGAGACAACAAAAGAACAACCTCTGGTGGCACAAAAGTACAAACCCAAAACCATAGCCATAGAAAGACTCCAGACAAAGTGGGAACACGTGAAAAAAGCTTGGGTCCATAATTCTGTTAGTTCAAATGAGCACTCATAAGCAGGTCCTAGCTGCTTATCTCTTGCCAACCAATATGACAAGTGGTTCTAACTGGATCCAGGTACATGAAGCCCAAGCACAGGGAAAGAAGACCCCCCCCCCCCCCCGTGTGCATGCCAGTTCAACTTACTTAGTCGTGCAGTCCATCTGCTGATGCTTTGAAAAGGAGTGTAGCGAACTTCTTTGAGAAAAACTCTCGGCAGCTGCTGGGAAGCCCCCACAGTCCTCCCAGGGTCAGCCTACCACAGGCTGCTGGGACCTTAGCCCAGGCCCTCCAGGACTTACTGAGGTCCATGCTGTCTCATTTGGGTCACCAAAACTATAACAAACACAGGTTTGGCTGCCTGCCAAAATGAAAGACAGCCTCCTGAGACAGGTGCTATCACAAAAGGAAAGAGGTTTATTCAGGTGCTGTGACCTGGGAGGATGATTGACTCCCATCTCAAAGACAATCCCCCCTACCTGTTCAAGCCCACTGTTTTTGTAGGAATAGGGAGGGGAAGGCTTTTTCTTCCCTATCCAGTTATCTTCCTAGCTTTTGGCACACTCGGGTCCCATCCATTCATCTTTCTAGCTTTTTTATTTTATTATTATTATTATTATTATTATTATTTTTTTTAAAGATCTTGTTTCATATATATTGATTTTTTAAAGTGATATTTTTTTAAAAATATATATTTTATTGATTTTTTACAGAGAGGAAGGGAGAGAGATAGAGAGCTAGAAACGTCGATGAGAGAGGAACATCAACCAGCTGCCTCTTGCACACCCCCTACTGGGGATGTGCCCACAACCAATGTACATGCCCCTGACCAGAATCGAACCCGGGACCTTTCAGTCTGCAGACCAACGCTCTACCACTGAGCCAAACCGGTTTCGGCATCATCTTTCTAGCTTTTTTAGTTGTTGTTATTCCACACCCAAGAATTTTTTTTTCATTGATTTTTTTAGACTGGAAAAGAAGGGGAGAAATATAGAGAAACATCAGTGTGAGAGAGACATATTGATCAGTTTCCTCCCCCCCCGCGCCCCAACTGGGGTTCTGGATTGAGCCTGCAACTAAGGCATGTGCCCTTGACTGGAATTGAACCCGTGAATCATCAGTCCACAGGCTGACACTCTAACCATTGAGTAAACAAGCTAGGGCCATCTTTCTATCTTTTGGTGCATTCGGGCCCTGTCTTTCTAGCTTTTGGCATGTTCAGGCCCTCATCCATATATCTTTATAGATTTTGGCACATTAGTGTGCCATCTTGACCAATGGGGAAGACTGGCTGGCACTCTCTGTCTATAGTATCAGAGTTAGTGGAGAGTGGAGTGAAGCGGGGGCTAGGCCCATCTCCCTACACTGGATACAGCCTTTGCACATCACGGGGAGCCCCTTGGAGTCCACAGGGTGCCTTGGATGCTAGCAAGCCTGCATCCTCCACACAGCCCCCATACACCCTGGCCCTGCAAAGTGGCCAGTCAACCCACACCCTGCCGTTGGCTGCCTGTACTTTGACTGACTGTCTATGGTAACAACATGGTCACACTTATTTATTTATTAATATCACATGAGGATATTTTTACAATGATTTTTAGAAAGAGTGGAAGGGAGGGGGAGAGTCAGAGAGAGAGAAACATCGATGTGAGAGGGACACATCAATTGGTTGCCTCCCACAATGTCCTGACCAGGGCCAGGGATCAAGCCTGGCAATGTATCCATGTGTCCCTAGGAAAGCCAAATGGTAGGGCTGGTCACACTTTTAAAATAATGTTATTTCAAGAAATTTAATACTCATGCAAAAATAGATAGATGGATGGACAGATAGGTAAATAGATGGGCAGAATCTAAGTTGTTCCTTATTTTTTTAAAGGGATTTTGATATGTGTAACATTTTTAGAGTGACTGCCATTGTCTTTCTTTCCCCTTGTGTAAAATTCTCCTAATTTAACTGTTTTATTTATTTCAGACGACAACTTTTTTTCACGGCAGAGAACTTTGAGGGTAGTCTTTCTCCATTGTCCATCCCTCCATCAATGCAGGTAGTTATTATATGGGACAATCTGAAAGATGCTTGAAATACGTAATACTAGGTGTAAAGGTATAATTTGGAAATATCACACTAGTTTGTTTTTTTGTTCATTTGAAGTTTATTTTACAAAAAAAAAAATGTATCTCTTTAAGATTGATAGTTTCTAAGCCAAAAGAAGAGGGTTCATTCTATTCTGTCCCTACTACCGAAATGGTACCCCCTTTTCCCGAAAAAGGAAGCAGAATTGTCACCAGTGCTTCCTACAATTGGTTGTGTGTGGGGAACAGATAGATTACATGCACTAATTCCAGGGCCTCCCTAAATTGTCCTAACCAAAACAGAAAGACCTTTACCCTCTTAGTAACTATCTCGAGAAATTCTACCGTTAGCACCTATGCCAAAGTAGTTTTGCCATCTACCAATGTTTCTTGGAAGCAATAGTTATGCTCATCATTTATGCTCCTCATTTATCACTTATCTTTAGGCTTTATCCTTGGGGAAGGATTTGTTGCTGTTATTTTGTTTTTATTTCTCTGGAAAGAGAAACATGGATGTGTTGTTCCACTTACATGCATTCATTGGTTGATTCCTGTATGTGCCCTGACCTGGATCTAATATGCAGCCTTGGCATATTGGGATAATTGCTCTAACCAAGTGAGCTACAGTATCTGGCCAGAGCCTCCTCAGAAAAGATTTGTTTTTTATATTTTGGGTTTTTTCTTTTGTCATTAATCCTCACCCAAGGATATTTTTTTCCATTGATTTTTTTTTTTAAGAGAGTAGGAGGAAGAGAGGAAGAGAAGAAGGGAGGGAAGGAGAGAAAGAGAAACATCTATGTGAAACATATCAATTGGTTGCCTTCTGCACACTCTCCAACCAGGGCTGGGGACTGAACCTGCGACCCAGGTATGTGCACTTGACTGGGAATCAAACTCATGACCCCTTGAGGTGCAGGCTGACACTATAACCCCTGAACTATACCAGCCAGGGCTCAGAGAAGGTTTTGATGAGGGAGAGAACTTAGCTGTCTGAGGCCACCAAACACTGATTTCAACCTCCCAGTTTTGGTTTCAGCTTACCCCAGGAAACATAGTCCCCAATATGGAGGAACCGAACAGCTCCTGTTGGCACAAATGTTTCTTGGATGTGTGTCTAGAAGTATTGCTTCCCAAATTGATATCCAAAAAGAGGTGTTTATTGATATTATGTATGTCATTATTTATAGGTTGGCAAACCAGAAGTAACATCAGCACATTTTGCTGATCTTTCATTGCTGTTAGTAGTGAATAAAAAAGTCTATGTTTATAATATTAAAAAGCGTATCTGGACTGCATCGACAGGTATATATTCTTTTTATGTGTTTTATTTTTTTATTTTTATTTTTATTTTTTTTACATTTTTTTATTAACTTGTTAACCGGGGAGTTCCCTTTTTAATTATGCAACCTGTTATGGGCGCGTACTCTTTCACTAGGACGTCACGCCTGGAGGACTTAATTTCATATTATTATTTTTTTTCTATTTATACTTAATTAAAATAAATGATATATATGTATTTTCATTTATTTATATATAAAGCACAAAGGAAAATACAAAATTACAAAAATAGAAAAGAATACCAACAAAAAAATGGAAACATTGAATTAAAAAATTATAAATTTTACAAACAATTATAAAGATTACAAAAAATATATATTGTCCTTCTCAGGGCGCAACATATATTTCCAGGACGTATTTATACATCCTACCCGTTCCCGATATTGTTTACGTTTGACGTATTTATACGTCCCACTCGGTTAACAGGTATTAAATTATTATCTGTGTACATATTTTAACATTGCCCCCCTCCATACATATGTGTTTTTTGTTTGTTTTTCTTAACTGATTTGAGGCAGGGGAAAGGAGGGAGAGAGGAGGAAAAAAACATCGATGAGTAGCCTCCACATGCGGGGATCAAACCTGCAACCTGGGTATGTGCCCTGACCAGGAACTGAACCAACCAACTCTTGTTGTATGAGATGACACCCCAACTAGCTGAGCCACCCTGGCCAGGGCCTTTTTGTATTTTTTAAATTTCATTTGAGTTCAGCCAACCTCAGAGAAATGGTTATTAATTTCGGAAGGACAAACCATACCGTTATGTGGATGTCTGTCCCCGAATGTCACCCTGTCCTTTAAAATTCAAATGGAAGCTGGGCTGAACCCCCATCCACTGCAGATTGCAGTTGTAAGCCAGAGAACCCTTCTCTGGACAAGAACAACTTCTAGATGCTTGGTGACAACATTCCATGGTGCAGAAAGACCACATTTTGTTTATAGTGTCATCGGCCAGTGGACACTCGGATTGCTTCCGTGTTTTAGCTATTGTGCGCAACACTGTTTGAATGTGTGTATGTGTGTGTACACAAATATCTTCCTGAGTCCATGCTTTTTAATTTTTAAATTTTTTTGTATTTCCAGAAGTGGCATTGGATTGGCTCTGATTCCTGGCCACACTCTGAATGAGTGATGTCCACACTGTCCTTCCCCCAGCAGCCCTGCCCAGCTCTTGTGGACTCATGTCTGCGGCTTCTTTTACGGCATCAATCCATCTTACATCTTGTCTTCTTCTTTTCCTGCTGCCTTTCCTTTTCCCTGGCATGATGGTGGTGTCCAAAGAGACCTGCCTTCTCAGGATGTGCCCGAAGGAGGACAGCTTCAGTTTGGTCACTTTGCCTCCAGCAATGTCTGTGGCTTATTAAACCAAGACCCATGTATCTGTCTTCCTGGCAGTTCCGCCGGTCTGCAGAGTTCTCCTCCAGCTCCATATTTCAAATGAATCAACATTCCTATTGGCCTTCTCCACTGCCCAACTTTCACATCCGGGCACAGTAATTGGGAATACCAGGGTGTAGATAACCTTGGTCTCTAATGGTGACCTTTCCTAATTTTACTATTGCTGCCCTTCCGAGTCTCAGCCTTCTCCAGAGTTCTTGGCAGCAGTCTCCGTGTGAATTGGTGACTGAACCAAAGGAAGCTAAGTCTTCAGCAATGTCTTCCTTCATTGTCTGTGTGAAAGTTGCGTATCTCTTCTGTAGTCATCATGTGGTCATTCCATTTTCAGATTCTTTGAGGAAACTCCATGCTGTTTGCTAGTCTTGCACCATTCCCATTCCCAACAGGGTACAAAAGTTCCATTTTCTTCACATTCTCACCAACACTGGTTGTTTTCTGTTTCATGCCAAGCCGAAGTTTCAGCACTTAAAATGGAATCAAAGAACACCTTGGTAAGAGAAGGGAGTTCTTCCTGCAGTTTTGGCATAGTCCTAAAGAGTGTGTGCTCCTCAACTAGGGACAGGCCTGCCCCCAGATGACACTTTGGCAATGTGGGGAGGTATTTTTGGTTGTCCAGATGGAGGGAAGAGCTACATTGAGTCATTAAAGGCAGGGGTGCTGCAAAATGTCCCACAAGCACAGGACAACCCCACAACCAGGAACCATTGGGCCCCACATGTCAATAGCAGGTTACTTAGCCTTGTCCTGATTTCTTGGCTGCAGTCTCCATTTGTTTTTTTGTTTGTTTGTTTGTTTTAATAATTCTTTTTTTTAAAATATATTTTATTGATTTTGTACAGAGAGGAAGGGAGAGAGATAGAGAGCTAGAAACATTGATGAGAGAGAGTCATCGATCAGCTGCCTCTTGCACACCCCCTACTGGGGATATGCCCGCAACCAAGGTACATGCCCTTGACCGGAATCGAACCCGGGTCCCTTCAGTCCCCAAGCCGACACTCTATCCATTGAGCCAAACCGGTCTCGGCTGTTTTAATAATTCTTTATTGTTGAAAGTATTACATATGTCCCCATTTTTCTCCCATTGACCCCCTCCAGCCTGGCCCTACCCCCCCATCTCCCAGGCCTTCAGCACCCTATTGTCTGTGTCCATGGGTTATGTATATGTGCATCCAAGGTCAGTCTCCATTTAAATTAGGGACTGGACCAAAGTAAGCAAAATCTTTAACAGTGTCTAAACCTTTTCTCTGACCTTCAGGTAACTCATATAGTTTCCAAATGATCTTTTTCTTTCAGGCATAAAACACCCTGTTTCACATATTTCTGGTGACAACTGTTGCTATGGTATGCATTTCATTTGCTCGGTGAGTACAGGATATCACTTTTTTTTACTCTGTTCTGAGCACAGATGGAAATAAGGACAGGCGAATCCTTGGGGGTTAGGCCTTTGGACTTGGGCAATGACTGGTGTGGGGGGGCCCTCTGGAGCAACTTTCAGATCAACTGGCTAATACACTAAGAATATATCCATCTACCTTCCATATATATATATATATATATATATATATATATATATATATATGTGTGTGTGTGTGTGTGTGTGTGTGTGTGTGTGTGTGTGTGTGTATAGCAAAGGCAGAAACTTATTGAAGAACAAGTACAGACTCCCACATGGGGAGAAGGAGAGTCCCCCCGCCCCCTTTTTTTGTAATATATTTTATTGATTTTCTACAGAAAGGAAGAGAGAGGGATAGAGAGTTAGAAACATAGATGAGAGAGAATCATCGACCAGCTGCCTCTTGCACACCCCCTACTGGGGATGTGCCCGCAACCAAGGTACATGCCCTTGACCGGAACAGAACCTGGGACCCTTCAGTGCGCAAGCCGACGCTCTATCCACTGAGCCAAACCGGTTTCGGCTTCCTTTTTTTTTTTGAACTTGTTATTTAAAAATAATTATAGACTCTCCAGTAAGTGGAAAAGATTTCCATGTACCCTTCCCACATCTACCACCTTACATAACTGTAGTATCATCCTAAAACTATATTGACATGGACACAATGTATCTAGCATTTTATCACATTGCCACATCACAGAACCATCCTAGCATTGAAATACCAGACTGTATTCTGTCATCCCAAAGCTCCATACCTCCCTGCCCCCATCCCACCCCAACCCTTGTCAACCACTAATCTGTTCCCCATCTCTATAATTTTACCACTTCACGGATGTTATGTAAACGAAACCATACATTATGGGACCTTTGAGGACCAGCTTTTGTCAGCTAAATTCTCTGAAGAGTCATCTAATTTGTTGTATATATCTCTAGTCTTTCCCTTTTCGCTGTCAAGTAATATTCCGTGGTCTGAATGTACCAGGATTTGGTTGCCTCCACTTTTGGGCTATTACAAAAAAAGCTGCTATAGTCACTTATGTACAGATTTTTGTATGTGCATATGTTTTAATTTTTCTGGGATAATTGCCCAGGAGTTTTACTCTTGGCATTGATCTCCCTTTTTTACTGAGATATAATTGACAGAACACTGTAAGTGTACAGTGTGATGATTTGATACATTTATATATTGCAATATGATGACCACTCTAGGGTTACCTGCATCGTGGTACATCATTGCCATTAGTGGGAACCATTAAGATCTAGTTTCTTAGCAACTTGGAATCTTACAGTATAGCATTGCTGTTTATAATCACTGCTGGGCATTAGATCTGCAGGAGTTTGTAGCTATTGGGTGCAAGTTTGTGACCTTCAACAGCATCTCCCCACCCCCAACCCCCAAACCTCCTTTTAAAGTGACTATTCTGTGTGTGTTCTTCCAGGATATGAGTAAATACGTTTTTGCCTATTCTCATGGAGATAAGATATCTGAGGCCAATGTATATTTCTCATATAACTGGGGATACACATTTGTGAAGTATCGCATTTTACAAGGACAGGTATGTGCATTTGCATAAAAAAGTGAACCAAAAAAGTTAAATGTCTTGTGTGTGATTGGAGTAATTAGCGCGCAGTGGGTGAACCAAGGCTTCTGTCTCTCAGGCGGGTAGGGAAAACTCCAGGTCATGAGACCTGGCTAGAGAGATTAGGAGGTTAGGAAGGGAGACAAGAAGTTTTAGATGATAGCACGTTTATGGAATGCTTATAAAAACTAGTGTCAAAGTAAAGGCTGCGCATTAATTATGATATTTAACCCCATGCCCACCTGAAGATCAGTACTCTTATGACCCTGATTTTATAGATGAAAACAGTATTGGGTTGAATTTGTGCGTCCCCTCCTCCCCCCGCAAATTTATGTCCATCCACAACCTCAGAATGTCATTTGACTTGGACATAGGGTCTCTACAGATGTAATTTCTTAAGTCAAGATGGAGTCATAATGGGTTAGGTTGGGCCCTAAATCCAGTGGTTAGTGTCATTGTAAGAGGAGAGGGCACACAGATGCTCACAGAAAAGAAGGCTGTGTATGGGGCTGACACTGAAGAGATGGACACAGTTGCAAGCTAAGGAACTCAGGACTGCTGGCAGCCACCACATGCTCTAAGTCACATGTGTCAAACAAGGCCCGCTGGCCAAATCCGTCCCGCCAGGCCTTGCAATGTGGCCCGCACCGCACTGTCATCACTGCACTCCGCTGCGTTTCCATCTCAATGACAGTTTATGACTGTTCAGTAAACCATTCGGCCCGCGATTTAGGCTGGATTTTAGATTTTGACCCCTTCTCTGATTGAGTTCGACACCCCTACGATGGCGGCCCAGGTTCTTCCTCAGAGCTTCACAAGGAACCAACCCTGCCAACACTTTGATTCCAGGCTCTGCCTTCTAGAAAGGTGACCTTACATTTTTGTTATTTTTAAGCCCTCCTTCCCCCCACCCCGGTATGTGGTATTTTTTGTTTGTTTGTTTGTTTGTTTGTTTGTTTGTTTTGTGGCAGCCCTAGGAAACAGAGGGATGGAGGCTCAGAGAAGCTCAGGGCCTTCACCAAGGCCACACGGCTCGGCACAGCTGAAGCGATCAGGATGTTGAGTAGCTAAGAGAATGAGGATGTTTTATTCTGACTCAGAGAATGGCTATACCCCCAAGGACTTAGGAAGTACGTCCAAAGGAGGGCACACCCAAGTTCTGATCATGTCTCAGATCTGGTTTCTAAGTCCTGCCTAAGAGCCGCAAAGAAGCCTAGAACCTAACCAGCCACATGGTTTTTGAAATATATTTTATTGATTTTTTAAAATATATTTTATTGATTTTTTACAGAGAGGAAGGGAGAGAGATAGCCAGAAACGTCGATGAGAGAGAAACATCGTCCAGTTGCCTCTTGCACACCCCCTACTGGGGATGTGTCCACAACTAAGGTACATGCCCTTGACCGGAATCGAACCCGGGACCTTTCAGTCTGCAAACCGACGCTCTATCACTGAGCCAAACCGGTTTCGGCTATTGATTTTTTTAAAAAATATATTTTTTATTGATTTTTTTACAGAGAGGAAGGGAGAGAGATAGAGAGCCAGAAACATCTATGAGAGAGAGACATCGACCAGCTGCCTCCTGCACATCCCCTACTGGGGATGTGCCCGCAACCAACGTACATGCCCTTGACCGGAATCGAACCTGGGACCCTTCAGTCCACAGGCCGATGTTCTACCGCTGAGCCAAACCGGTTTCGGCTATTTTATTGATTTTTTACAGAGAGGAAGATAGAGAGATAGAGAGCTAGAAACAGCGATGAGAGAGAAACATCGACCAGCTTTCTTGCACACCCCCTACCTGGGATGTGCCCGAAACTAATGTACATGCCCTTGACCAGAATCGAACCCGGGACCTTTCAGTCCGCAGACCGACGCTCTACCACTGAGCGAAACCGGTTTCGGCCCAGCCACATGTTTTAATTTGAAATTAGACCTGGTAGTACCCAGGGGCTGCTGATGTACGCCCCAGAACCCAAAAACTGGAAAACCAGGAAGAGGACAGGAGAAGATGGAGGTCAGAAAGAGAGAGTGGATTTGCCCCTCCTCCAATGGTTTATATATGTATATATCTTACTGATTTTTTACAGAGGGGAAGGGAGAGGGATAGAGAGTTAGAAACATCGATCAGCTACCTCCTGAACACCCCCTCCTAGGGATGTGCCCGCAACCAAGGTACATGCCCTTAACTAGAATCAAACCTGGGACCCTTCAGTCTGCAGGCTGACACTCTATCCACTGAACCAAACCGGTCAGGGACAACTTTTTGTTCTTTTTGCCCCCTGAAGAATTGGGTGATGCCCACCCACACTGGTGAGAGTGGGTCTCCTTTACTCATCTACTGAACCAAATGCTAAGCTCTTCCAGAAACACTCTGTGGACACACTCAGGAACAGTGTTTTACCAGTTCTCCCGGCATCCAAATGGACACTTGGAATTAACCATCACAAGTCCATTCTTGTCAATTTGACATCCATACACATCTCCTTCAACCAGAACCTCCAAATAAAGACACAAACAAGGACAAAGTCTGCCCAACACAATACAGCCATCCTGTGTACAACAACTACAACAACAACAAAAATGCACTACCCCTCCCCAGGAGAGAAGATAAAGTCCTAGAACAATGTTTACTCTTCGTAATGTCCCATCACTTCAATATCAATGATTAATTCAAGAGTCTGCTGTGTGTGTGTGTGTGTGTGTGTGTGTGTGTGTGGTTATTGGTGGTGGTGGAACCCGTGGGAGTGCTTAGGTCGTGAGGGTAAAGCCCTCAGGAATGGGATAAGTGCTCGTACACCAGAGGCCCAGAGAGCTTGCTGGCCCCCTTAGCCTTGTGAGGACAGAGCAAGAAGACTGTGACCCAAAGGAGGGCCCTTGCTTGACCATGCTGGCACCTTGATCTTAGATTTCCAGCCTCCAGAGCTGTGAGGAATAAATGTCTATTGTTTATAAGCCACCCAGGCTGTGGTATTTTGTCACAGCAGCCTGACAGGACTGATACAAAGGGTTAGGGTTTTGACCAATGGATTTGGAGGGGGGCGGAAAGGGGCACACAATTCAGTCCAAAGCGCTGTATATTATGTAACACCTCCCCCCCAAAAAACAGAGGCTTAATAATGAGGACAGTCATCTCTCTTACCTGAAAGATGTCAGTGTGGCCTCATGCTCCAGTGTGGCTGCTGTGCACTCTGCTGGCCAGCCAAACAATGGGGGGTGGGGGGTGCGTGAGGAACCTAGGCAGGAAGGAAGGAGCTAGGCATGCATTCAGCAGCCGGTCACACCACTTTCTCCAACTTCCAACACAAAGCTGTCTTCACTTGGGGTTCTACTGAGGATGCCATATTCATAGAGAATAAATAGATCATAAATTTTAAAGATTTGTCTTCACTTTAGCTTATTGGATACCCTAAAGTTCAATTTACAATAGAATTAAACACGTTTACCATTTATTCACACACAACGTTTTTTGTTTCACAGGCACTACCCGTTGGGTCTTTGGGTGGGGTCTTCAACCTTTACTCCTTGTCACAGATTGGGGTTCTTCTCATCAATCAACAGAAGGTGAGTCACTTGGCCTGGGAAGAATGACCTTAAGTGATCTTTGTCCCAAGCCAGGGTTTTATTAAATGTCACACACTTGGATTTTCATATCTTAAATCTGTTTAGCTTTTTTAAAAAATCCTCACCTGCGGATATTTTTCAATTGATTTTTAGAAAGAGTGGAAGAGAGAGGGAAAGACAGAGAAATATCGCTGTGAGAGAAACACATCGATTGGTTGTCTCCTGCACGCAGCCCTGGCAGAGCCTGAACTGAGGTACATGCCCTTGACCAGAATTGAACCAAGACCCCTCAGTCCACCAACGTTCTATCCACTGAGCCAAACTGGCTAGGACTGAAATCCAGCTAGCTTTTCTTTCACCTATCTGTCTACCTAGCAGTCCCTCCATTCACGCATAAATCCATTCATCCATCCATTTACCTACCTTTCATCCAGAAACCCATTCATCCACACAACCTCCCTCTCCCCCCCCATTTAAACTGCATTAGAAGATAAAATAGCAAATCGGAAAGTGATTAAGTATAGTCAGAACCTGGTATTGCAAAAATTGTGAACTGAGCCGAAACCGGTTTGGCTCAGTGGATAGAGCGTTGGCCTGCAGACTGAAGGGTCCCAGGTTCGATTCAGGTCAAGGGCATGTACCTTGGTTGCGGGCACATCCCCAGTAGGGGGTGTGCAAGAGGCAGCTGATCCATGATGCTCTCTCAGTTTCTAACTCTCTATCCCTCTCTCTTCCTCTCTGTAAAAAATTAACAAAAATATATTTTAAAAAAATTCTTAAACTGTCCATTTAAAAAAAAGAGAGAGAGAGAACTTGGACAACCATACCAAACAATTCAGACTGGACGCCGGAGCCGGCCCTAAAGGGTCACAAGGTGCGAGTGGCTTGATGAAGGAGGCTGTGCACACAGGTGGGTTGGAGGAGAGAAAGGAACTTGAGTAATAACTCAGGAGCAAGGGCGCCAGCTGGGCCTGCCAGAGACTGAGGGAGAGCAAGTACCTCATCTTGCACTGGGGACATCTCCGGTGGACAGTTCTTCGTTGTGAGAATCTGTCCTGTGCACTGCGGGGTGTGGGGCCCCCACTCACCATACCAGGAGCACCCCCAGTGAGACAACCACAGACATCCCCAGACGTGCCAGGTGCCCTCCGGGGGCAGAACCATCCCCTGCTGAGAGCTGCTGGGACAGTTAAGCAAGTTTGAAGAAAGTTTAAATATTGAAGCAGGAGGACATACACCTGCTGCCACTCTGTAATCACGGATGTGGAATGTCTTTCTCAGGCCAAGTTTAAGTACTCGGACTACCCTCTGAACCACAGTTTTGGGCTGCCCTTTGACTACAATAGCACTCTTGATGTCATCATCGCCCCAGGCCAGAAAGGCATCTTGATCTTCTGGTCTGAGAAGAGCCTGCTAGTGTCCCGGAATTCAGGTGAGCGGCCGGGCTGCCATTCAGGTCCCCCTCCAGGTTGGGGAAGCACACATCATTATTTCTTCTCTCCCCATTCTCACTTTGTTGACTGTTATGCCAAGTGCTGCGGTCCCAGAGCACCTCCAGGTATGGTTCTTGGATTCTCAAAGAAAGAACCCAGAGGGCAGGCCGTGGGAGAGATGGGTTTATCAGGTCTTACACGTGGTCCAGCGAACGCCACACTACCTGCCGTCGGTGGAGTTGAGCGGCCACATCCCGTCCGGCCTGCAGATGGGCTACTACCTATTGTTTGCAGCCACCCAGACTCACCCAACACGGGGTTTTATGAAGAACAGAAAGCAAAGGAAACCAGGCCATGCAGGGGAAGGGGGATGCTTTTTAGCATTAGCTGTGTGAACCCAGAACGGCTAGCTGTTTCCTTAACTGAGGAGCTGGCCAGGCTCCCAAAGCCTCATGGTCCACTTACTGATGGCCTTCCATGGTGTTCCCACAGGGGAGAGGGGAGCTGGTTCCCATGGGAAGGGGCCATGTTCCCATTTACCACACACCTCCTAACTGCATCTCCCCGTCCCCCTCCCCTGCCTCGTGGGACCTTCAGGGACACACAGGCAGCAGGTTCTGAAAGTCACCAGATCCGAGGGCAGAGGTCCACGCCTTCAGTCCAGGAACTGCAGACCTTGTTTTGAGGCTGAGGTTAGGGATTCTAGGAGGTGAGCCAGGACCACTCACTTGAGCTTCCCTTGGGCGAGAAAGGAATGGAAGCAGCACAGCTCCTGTAGGTGGCCTAGTGAGGGATCCTGGGAGGGCCCAGGCCCTGGAGCTCCAGCCCGCCAGCTGGCATAGCCAAGGAGCAAAAGGCAGCCCTCCCTGAAGAGGCGCTGTCAGGAGCCTCTGGGCACAGGTGTGGCTGCGAGAGCGCCCACAATCACAGCCAGCTACCCAGCGCCAGTCAGGCCACCTGAGCCCCGTGTTCCCCAGCGTGCAAGAGAGGGGCTCGGGCTGGCCGTCTGAGAGCTTTCCAGAAAGAAAGCACTCTTTTCCCAATGCTTGTTGCCTGAGCACACGTTCTGTGGTGGGCAAGCTTCCAGGCGGTGAAGCAGCTTCCTTAAGCCTAAGGCCCTTTCCGGAGGGTGTGTTACAACATTGCACCTCAGTATTATGTTTTTGTTGAATCTTTATCATTTCACCAGTGGACTCCCCCTTTCAACACAAGCCCAGGTCTCATGATCCTGCCCTGTTGTCTCGTAGGTCAGCTCGTCTTCCCTGTCCAGGTGCAAGAAAAACCTGCCACCTTGTATCCTTCTGTCTTTGATGCCGGCATCACCATCCACGCTGTGGCTGCAAGTGCGTATCCAGCCAGCGGGTAGCTTTCTAGCCGAACTGTCCCTGTAGGTCCTTGGTCATTTTTTAACTGGGCTGTTTGCCTTTTTTATTGTTGAGTTGCAAGTGTTTTTTTTATATATTCTAGATGCAAGGCCCTTATCAAAAATAGGCTCAGCAAATATTTTCTCCCAGTCAATGGCTGGTCTTGCCACTCCTTTAAAAAAAATTATTAAGTACACATCGTTTTCCATGTCTAGAATCTTTCATATTTTCTAAAGAATAATATTCAAATTCCCAACAATGGCATTCAGGTATGTATATCTTGTATCTCATCTGACTGCTCACCACTGCCCTAAGGGATCCCTTTTGTCCACTTAACCCCATGGTTCTCAACCTGGGGACTCTGGCCGATATATGGAGATGGTTGTCATGATTTGGGGGGGGGGGGCGGCTTATGCCTGGTATCTTCTGGGTAGAGGCCAGGGATGCTATCCAACATCACAGAATGCACAGGACAGCCCCCACCACAAAAAACAAACAAACAATGGAGCTTAGGTTGAGAAACCCTCAGTAACATTAGTCTGGTCCTTCCTCTACAAACACCTCACTTTTCTACACCAGAAGCTTTTTTCAAGGCTCAGCTTAAGACTTGCTTCTTCTGAAAACTTCCTTGGCTGTTTTATCGTTATTATTGTTGTTAATCCTCACCCAAGGATGTATTTTCCACTGATTTTTAAAAAAAATATTTTATTGATTTTACACAGAGAGGAATTGAGAGGGATAGAGAGTTAGAAACGTCGATGAGAGAGAAACATTGACCAGCTGCCTCTTGCCCACTCCCGACTGGGGATGTGTCCACAACCAATGTACATGCCCTTGACCGGAATCAAACCCTGGACCTTTCAGTCCACAGGCTCTATCCACTGAGCCAAACCGGTTTCGGCTCCACTGATTTTTTAAGGGAGGGAAGGAGAGAGGGAAAGAGAGAGGGAGAAAAAGGGAGAGAGAGGGAGGTGAGAAGGGAGGGAGGGAGAGAGAGAGGGAGAGAGAGAGGGAGAGAGAGGGAGGCGAGGAGGGAGGGAAGGAGAGAGAGGGGGGGAGGGAGAGAGAGAGAAAGAGAGAGAGAAACATGGATGTGAGAGAGACATATCGATTGGCTGCCTCCTACATGTGTCCTGATCAGGACTGGGGTTTGAACCTGCAACCCTGGTACATGACCTTGACTGAGAATCAAACCTTTAACCCTTCAGTGTGGAGCCGACTCTCTAAACACTTAGCAACACTGGCCAGGACTCCTTGGTTGCTTTTTTTCAATTAGCAATAATCAGATAAACTTCATTGGCTACAATACTGCCACTGTGCAAAACTCCTTGGTTGCTTTTTTTAAATAAAAAAAAGAATAAAAATATACATTGGATCTGATTACCCCCTTTCATAAAATCCCTTAACGGTGTCCTGTGTTTTCTTGGAACTTTGTACATGCAGAAGATCAGAAACAGCCTCAGTGTTCATCAGCGGAGAACTGGTTAAGTAACTTAGAGTTCACTGAGGCTCCAGAATATCAACCAGCCAACTACATCCGTGTATACAAAAGGGAAGGGAAAAAAATTAAGTTACAAAGCAGCTTGGGGGGTTCCAGAATATGTTCCTGGTATATGCAACTATCAGAAAAGATGTTTACTAAAACGTTAACAGTGGTTACCTGTCAGGGCTCAGTAACCCTCGCCTGCGGGTCAAATTTGGCCCATAGCTTGTTTTATAGGAACAGATCTACAATACTTTCAGAGTTGAATACTTTTTTTTTAAACCCTCACCTGAGTATATGTTTATTGATTTTTGAGAGAGAGAAAGACAGGGAGGGGGGGGGTAAGAGATAAACAGTGATTGGTTGCCTCTCATACGTGTCCCGACCAAACCCACAACCTAGGTATGTTCCCTGATCAAGAATCGAACCTGCAACCTGTTTGTGCATGGGACGATGCTTCAATCAACTGAGCTACTGGCAAGGGCAGAATTGAATACTTTTTTTTTATTAAATATATTTTATTGATTTTATACAGAAAGGAAGGGAGAGAGATAGTTAGAAACATTGATGAGAGAGTGTCATCGATCAGCTGCCTCTTGCACACCCCCTACTGGGGATGTGCCCGCAACCAAGGTACATGCCCTTGACCGGAATCGAACCCGGACCCTTCAGTCCCCAAGCCGACGCTCTATCCACTGAGCCAAACCGGTCCCGGCATGAATACTTTTTTTTTTTTTTAATATATTTTATTGATTTTTTACAGAGAGAAAGAGAGGGGAATAGAGAGATAGAAACATCGATGAAAGAGAATCATCGATTAGGTGCCTCCTGCACTCCCCCTACTGGGGATGTGCCCGCAACCAAGGTACATGCCCTTGACCGGAATCGAACCCTGGACCCTTCTGTCCACAGGCCAACGCTCTATCCACTGAGCCAAACCGGTTTCGGCCAGAGTTGAATACTTTTAATAGACATGACATAACCAGAGAACAAAAACTATCTGCCATCTGGTTCTTTACAGAAGTTTGTTGAGCCCAGTCTAGATGATGGAATTTGGGGTAATTAAAAAAAAAACAAACCACTTTATATTTTAAATATTTTTATCTATTAAAACAAGTTCATTTCTTTTCTTCTAAAATATACTTTATTGATTTCAGAGAGGAAAGGAGAAGGAGAGAGAAACATCAATGATGAGAATCATTGATTGGCTGCCCCTGCACACCCCCCACCAGGGATGGAGCCCACAACCTGGGCATGTGCCCTTGACTGGAATTGAACCTGGGACCCTTCAGTCTGCAGGCTGATGCTCTATCCACTGGGCAAAACCAGCTAAGGTGAAAAAAGCCTCATTTCAGTGTCCTGTCTTATTTGTTTTTTTCTAGATGAGAACGAACTGGCAGTTCTAACTCGGGAGGATAATGTGTATTATGGCAGCCTGGGAATCCTGACAAATTTCATAGTCAAAGTAGGTAAAATCAAAGTTAGGGTTATTCCCGGCTTTGTTCTCAAACTTTCAATATTCTTTTTTGTTGTTTTGTTAATCTTTGCCCGAAGATATTTTTCTATTGATTTTTAGAGAGAGTGGAAGAGAGAGGGAAAGACAGAAACATTGGTGTGAGAAACACCGATTGGTTGCCTCCTACATGAGCCAGACCAGGGCTGGGGAGGAGCCTGCAACCAAGGTATGTGCCCTTGACCGAAATCGAACCCGGGACCCTTTGGTCTGCAGGCCAATGCTCTGCCCTCTCAGCCAAACTGGCTAGGGCTCCAGTACTCTTACTGGAGGCTAGAAATTGCTCTAATTATTTAAAATAGTAACAGTATTTTAATATCAGAAATAATAACAATAATTTTAATTAATATCAGTATTAACATTAACTTAGTAGCAATAGTAATTTTTATAGTTATTAAAATAATAGCAACGACAGCTAAAACTTACTGAGCACTTAGAATATGGCAGGTGCGGGTCTAACCATCTTCTGACTGTTAACCTCACTTAACCTTGACCATCATCTTAAGAAGTAAACTCTTCAGTTGTTCCCATTGGACAGATGGTCAAACCAAGGTGCAGAGAGGTAAAGTCATTTATCTGTGGTTACAGAGGTATGGAGTGGTGATGCTGGAATATCTCACAGTATCTTGTACATTTTGCTTACCTAATTTTATTTCATCCTCACAACAACCCTGGGAAGGTGTCAATATCATTCAGCTTTTACAGGGAGAAACTGGAGTTCAAGTCCCTCTCTCTCCGAGGTCCCGTAACTTCTTCGCAACTGAGCCAGAAAAGCCCCCCGGCTGTGCTGACTGCTACTTCAGTGTTTTTCCTGTTACATCTACAGCCACCCTATTTCCTGACAGTTGACTGACAGTGGAGTTAGGACAGGATCACTGGTGTGGGGCATTAGCACCAGAACTGTCTCTTTGAAGCCTTAACCCTGACATTCTGATGGCCAGCGTTTTCTGGGGAGAGATCCTGTGGCTTTTCCAACTCCCCAAGCAGGTCCATGACCTATTAAGAAATTCCTCCCAGCGGCCAGGCCCGGAGCAGCGGCTGCCAGGCTGAGAGCGGCCAGGCCCGGAGCAGCAGCTGCCAGGCTGGGAGCGGCTGGGCCCGGAGCAGCCGGGCCCAGAGCAGCCGGGTCTGGTGTGGCCAGGCCCGGAGCAGCAGCAGCCAGGTCCAAAGCAACTGGGTCGGGAGCAGCGGTGACCAAACCCGGAGCAGCTGGTTGTGGAACGAACCAGAGCAACAGAGGCCAGGCCCGGAGCCACCAGGCCCGGAACAGCTCGCTCCTCGCCTGCCCCTGCCCCACGCTGCCTCTCAGACATGGCTGGAAACTTTTGTGGGAACTTGAGGGTCTGCTGAATCAAGTGATGAAGGCTTAGATCTGGATGTGTTGAGTTAGTATAGGGCTGGGGTGTTGATCTGTGAGTGCCTTGGGTGGGGCCTGGATGAGGCTGGTTGACCTATTTGGAAATGTCTTTTGTATGAAATGTATCATTGGGCATGTGGTGGTATTATTGATATGAGAAAATGCTAAGTAACTGATTTACTATCTGAAAAGGGATTTACTATCCGGGAAAGGGAGGGAGGAAGAGACTGAACATGAACTGTGCACCTATGGATGAGGATGATGGGGGAGGGGGAGGGGGCAGAGGGTGGGGTGGGAACCTGGTGGAGGGGGGAAGAAATGAGGAACCTTTGTAACAACATGAACAATAAAGATTGATTAAAAAAAAAAAAATCCCTCCCAGCTGAAACCGGTTTGGCTCAATGGATAGAGCATCAGCTTGGGGACTGAAAGGTCCCGGGTTCGATTCCGGTCAAGGGCATATACCTTGGTTGCGGGCATATCCCCAGTAGGGTGTTTGCAAGAGGCAGCTGATCGATGACTCTCTCTCATCAATGTTTCTAACTATCTCTCTCCCTTCCTCTCTGTACAAAATCAATAAAATATATTTTTTTAAAAAAGAAAAGAAAAAGAAAAAAAAAAAGAAATCTCTCCCAGCTGAAGTCAGTTTGGCTCAGTGGATAGAGCATCGGCCTGCGGACTCAAGGATCCCAGGTTTGATTCCGGGCAAGGGCATGTACCTTGGTTGCGGGCACATCCCCAGTCGGGGTTGTGCAGGAGGCAGTTGGTCTATGTTTCTCTCTCATCGATGTTTCTAGTTCTATATTCCTCTCCCTTCCTCTCTGTAAAAAATCAACTTTTTTTTTTTTAAAGAAATCCCCCCAATCAGTTTGGCTCAGTGGATAGAGCGTCAGCCTGCGGATTTAAGGGTCCCAGGTTCGATTCTGGTTAAGGGCATGTGCCTTGGTTGCAGGCATATTCCCAGTGGTGGTGTGCAGGAGGCAGCTGATTAATGTTTCTCTCTCATCCATTGATGTTTCTAACTCTCTATCCCTCTCTCTTCCTCTCTGTAAAAGATCAATAAATATAAAAAAGAAAAAATAAATAAAAAGAAAAAAATTCCGCAGGCAGCCTCTCTGACAGGAAACACAGTTTCCATGATTAATTTAAACACAAGGAAGGAGTAAAACTTGGGTAGGTATCTCAACAAAGCGTACCTATAATTTTGCTGTTTGTTTGTTTGTTTGTTTGGTCTACCTTCTTTAAACCCAAATCATTTAAAAAAAAATATATTTTATTGATTTTACACAGAGAGGAATTGAGAGGGATAGAGAGTTAGAAACATCGATGAGAGAGAAACATCGACCAGCTGCCTCTTGCACACCCCCAATGGGGATGTGCCCGCAACCCAGGTACATGCCCTTGACCAGAATCGAACCCAGGACCCTTCAGTCCGCAGGCCGATGCTCTATCCGCTGAGCCAAACCGGTTCCGGCTAAACCCAAATCTTAAGACAAAATTTAAATCCTCATAAAAGAATTAGAATGAACTGATTTCAGAATCACTTTTTTTTTTTTTTTTCCCTCCAGTTACCACACCAAAACATCTGGTCCCAACAGGCAGCCATGATGTTCAGTGCCCTGGGGATACTTGAAATCGTGACCCCAATTCCTGACTCGGAGTTTCCAGCTTTTGATTTCCTGAAGTGCTTGGTGAATATCCAGGCAGTTCTCATGGACCCTCAACTCAAAGTTGACGTCTGCAAAGTATGTGATCATAACTGTTTAGCTCCATATTCAAGACACTTAAACTCTCCCCCACACACACACACAAATCCCAGAGACCCAGGGTTGGGCATCTGTGTCTGGCAACCACATGTCAAGCTCCAAGTAGGGTTGGCTGCCTAAACTTCACATAACAACTAGATCTGACAGTCAGCCACCACTGCCCCAAAGGCTGGCACCCACGTCTTGTTGGTAGTTCCTGTTCATTCTTTCATATAGAAACGTATTTCACTTTTAGTAGGTGCTCTTTGTAACAAAGAAGTCAACAAACCCTCAAATTGCTTGGAAGAGAAGAAAGTAGGAGATTTGGTTGTCAGGACCACAAGGCTTGGCTCCACAGAAACTTACCTGGAGCCCCCAGGGAGGGAGATTCATTTGGGCTCAGGCTATCCCTGAGCCATGGGGGGTCAGCTTTGACCTCCGTCAAGCAGACTAATTAAAGAGAGGAAAGTCATAGAAATAGAGGAATATGCACATATTGATTTGGACTCATTATTCTGCAAGTGATGGAAAATCCAAATAAATGGCCTTAAACCAGAAAGGCAATTATTGACTCTAGGACCAAAACATCCAAAGGGGGAGACTTCAGGTGAGGCTTGATCTGGTGTCTGATGTCATGCCACCAGGAGCCGGCTTCTTTCCACCTCTCCACTCTGCCTGCTGGGATGTTTCATGCTTTCTCATATCATGGCAGCAAGCTGTAGCCGACCCTGAAGACCTGGCATACTCATGCTGTACCCAGGCAAGAAAGGGGGTCTCTAGCCCTAGCTGGTTAGGCTCAGTGGATAGAGCATTGGCCTGAGGACTAAAGAGTCCCAGGTTCGAATAAGAATATGTATTTAAAAAAGGAAAATGAAAAGGAAGGAAGGAAGAAGAAAGGAAGGAAGGAAAAGAAAGAAAGAAAGAAAGAAAGAAAGAAAGAAAGAAAGAAAGAAAGAAAGAAAGAAAGAAAGAAAGAAAGAAGAGAGTCTCATCAGAGCCCTGGAGAAGCCAAGAGAAAGCCCAGCATGTCTCCCACATCTCATTGGCTCATGGGAGATGACATAACCATTCCTGAACCAATCACAAGGTTAGGATGAGCCAATCAGAATTCACTCCTACAGACAGTGGTGCAGTCAGTTCACCCACCAGGCCACATATCCAAGGATGTGCAAGAGGGTGATTTGCCAAAGGAAACTCAGGATAGTCCCAAAGGAAACAGGGGATACACTTAGGAAGGGGGAGTAGCTGCTGGAGAGAAATAGTAAAATGTCTTCTTTAGGCTCCCAGAATCCATCTTTGTAGTCCCTAGAAATCACATGATCAGAAATACAAGAAAGGCTGAAACCGGTTTGGCTCAGTGGATAGAGCGTCGGCCTGGGAACTACAACGTCCCAGGTTCGATTCCGGTCAAGGGCATGTACCTTGGTTGCGGACACATCTCCAGTAGGGGGTGTGCAAGAGGCAGCTGATTGATGATTCTCTCTCATCAAAGTTTCTAACTCTCTGTCCCTCTCTCTTCTTCTCTGTAAAAAAATCAATAAAATATATTTAAAAATATTTATAAAAAAAAAAGAAATACAAGAAAAATTTTTCTAACTTCATGTTTAAAGTTTTTTCCACTTTTAATGAAACATTTTAAAAATTTTATTTATTGATTTTAGAGAGGAGAGGAGAGAGAGAGAGAGAGAGAGAGAGAGAGAGAGAGAGAGAAACACTATTGATTTGTAGTTCCACTTATTCATATACTGTATTCATTGCTCGATTTTTGTATGTGCCCTGATCGGGGATTGAACCCACAACCCTGGCATGTGAGGACAACACTCTTACCAACTGAGCTAACCAGCCAGGATCAATGAGATATTATTGACATACTATAGAACATTATATTAGTTTCAAGTCTACAACATAATGATTTGATGTATGTTAATGTTATAAAATGCTCACCACAGTAAACATAGTTAACATTCATCACCACACATAGTTATAAATTTATTTTTATTGATTTCAGTAAGGAAGGGAGAGGGAGAATCATTGATAGGCTGTTTCTGCACACCTCACACTGGGGATCCAGCCTGGGCATGTGCCCTGACTGGGAATCAAACCATGACCTCTTGGTTCATAGGTAGATGCTCAACCACTGAGCATGTTAGCCGGGCCAAATTTCTTTTCTTGTGATGAAAATTTTTAAGATCTACTCTTAGCAACTTTCAAATATGCAATAAGTATTGTTAACTATAGTCTCCATGCTATATATATCACATCCCTAGTATCTTTTAAAAATATATATTTTATTGATTTTTTTACAGAGAGGAAGGGAGAGGAAGAGAGAGAGAGTTAGAAACATTGATGAGAGAGAAACATCAATCAGATGCCTCCTGCACATCCCCCACTGGGAATGTGCCCACAACCAAGGCACATACCCTTGACCGGAATTGAACCTGGGACCTTCAGTCTGCAGGCCGATGTTCTATCCACTGAGCCAAACTGGGTTCAGTATCCCTAGTGTCTTATAACTGGAAGGTTGTATCTTTTGACCCCCATCACTCATTTCGTCCACCCTCCAGCCCCTGCCTCTGGCAGCCACCAATCTGTTCTCTGGTTCTGTGAGTTTGACATTTTTAGATTCCACACTAAGTAAGGTCATATAGCATTTGTCTTTTGCTGGCTTATTTCACTCCACATAATACCCTCAAGGTCTTTCCACCTTGTCACAAATGGCAGAATCTCCTTTTTGAGGCTGGATAACATTTCAATGTGGATATAGATATAGATACACACTGCATCTTCTTATCTGTTTACTCACTGATGGACACACATTGTTTTCATGCCGTGGCTATTGCGAATACACTGTAATGAAGATGGGGGTGCATATATCCATTCGATATAGGGATTTCATTTCCTTCAGCTAAATATCCAGAAGTGGAATTTCCAGGACAGATGACAGTTCGATGTTTAATTTTTTTTAAGACTTTTCATACAATTTAAATATATTTTATTGTTTTTTTACAGAGAAGAAGGGAGAGGGATAGAAAGTTAGAAACATCGATGAAACATCAACTGCCTCACTAGGGATGTGCCTGCAACCAAGGTACATGCCTTTTACCAGAATCGAACCTAGGACCCTTCAGTCCACAGGCCAATGCTCTATTTATTCACTGAGCCAAACCCGTCAGGACTAAAATATATTTTTATTGATTTCAGAGAGGAAGAGAAAGGGAAGAGAGATAGAAACATCAATGATAAGAGAGGATTATTGAATGGCTGCCTCCTGCATGCACCCCTACTGGGGATTGAGCCCGCAAGCCAGGCATGTGCCCTTGACTAGAATCAAACCTGAGACCCTTCAGTCTGCAGGCTGATCCTCTACCCACTGAGCCAAACCAGCTAGGGCTCTACACTATTTTTTATTGTGACTGCACCAATTTACATGCCCAAGGAAATGCCATCTGTGAGCCTGTCTTGTCCAACAACCTCATCCCATCTTTCAGTGCTCTAGAATCCACTGAATTTGCCCAGGCACTGTGGCTCCATTGGTTGGAGGGTTGTCCTATACACCAAAAGGTTGACTGTTCAATTTGCGGTCCAGGCTGCTGCACCCACAAGACTAGAAGGTTCCATCCCTCGGGGTGACCGCTGACCTCTCACATTTTGCCCTTTTCTTTTTGGGGAACAACACTTCATTTTATTACTTTTTTTTTTTTTTTTAACATTTCTAACTAGGTAGAAGTACTGGAAGGCGACTTTGACAATAAAATGTATACCATTGATATGAACAGCAAATTGGAGTTGACCGCCGTGATGATACCCCGGCCAGGCACATCCCCTGTCCCACTCGTAAGGACATCCTCTTATCTGTCGGACAGTGTTTCTTCTTTTCCCTTAGATGTGTGATTATTGATTTGATAGGGGGGGGGGAAGGAGGGAGAGAGAAACATTGATCGATTGTCTCCTGCACAACCCCCTTCCCCCACTGGGGACTAAGCCCACAGCCTGGGCATGTGCCCTGAACCAGAATGAAGCCGGCGACCTCTCGGTGCATGTGATGATGCTCAGTGCACTGAGCCACACCAGCCCGGCTGGACGAGTGTTTCCAACACGTGATGTTCCCGGCATCCTTGACCTCTCGCCTTGTACCCATTGCCCCATTGTTCCCGGACTCCCATGGAGAGTACTCACTCACGAAACCCATAGAATCTGTCTTTTTCTCCTCAACTAGCCTCTGCGTGTCTGGGAGCTGTGTGCCAGGGCTCCTTTCACCAGAGCTCCGTGCCCCCTTCTCTACCCTTCAGCTGCCCACGTGCTTTCTACAAGTTCCTTCTCTTCTTAGCAGAGCCTTGACCCACAGCCCTCCCTCACGCAGAATGACAGGTGTCCTGGGCCTGGAACACAAGTGTCCAAGCCTGGAAATTGGGGGCCAGGTTAGTGCCAGGACCAGGGCCAGTGAGGAAACGCCAGGCTGGTGCTGGCTCTCATCCAGGGGTCTCTCATCTGGGCCTCCCTCTGCAGGTCAGGCCCTGGCTGCTCCTCGTGCAAGGGCCGGGGCTGGGCCCTGCAGCAGCAGCTCAGTAGCTCGAGGCTTAGAGGCCACAGCTAAGGGCTGAGGATGAGGTGGGGGAACATCTGGGGATAGGACTGGCAGCTACATTTGCTGGTGTCACCCCTGATGCCCCTTCTGTCCCCTCCCCAGGCTATGGTGAGCAATCCCCACTCTTTGGGGCTTAATGTCTTCAACCAAGAAGTTGACTACACCTATGATGGGAACACCAAGCACAGGCTGGTGAGCCACGCCCACTCCCCACACCAGGGTCAATGAGGTGAAGGGCACGACTTTGACCACCCCTCCCGAGTCCACACCCATGGTCATTTCTGCGCCTGACCCTCCTTCCTCCTTTCCTTCCTTGCATGCACCTGCATTAGGTGCTGCAGAATTTGGAGGAAACATTCCCAGCTCATCCCCAACTCAGGCAGGCAGCACTCAGCTAAGCAAGTGATGTCATTAAGGGGACACAGGGAGAGGCACAGAGGACATGGCCGGGAAGCTTACCCAGCCCCAGGAAGGAGGAGGTCCCTATTAGCTGGTAACTGAGGTGTCAGAATGGGGGAGCCACAGGGACGGGAAGGACAGGGGTATATGGCCCGGGGGTCTGTAGGTCTGAGCCAGGCCTCATGGGTCACATCACAGCATTTGGACTTGTGCACAGAAGCCTAGGACCCCCAGCTCAGCTAGCAGAACTCTTTGGACCAGTTCTTGTCACTTCCGGGAGAAATGAGACAGGGAACAAAGTTACACTTCACACTACTGCCAGGGCAAAGGCAACAGGGAACAAAGGAGCTTGAGGTGGCCATTTCCATGAGTTTCCAGAAGCCTTTCATGGGAGAGGTCTGGACGTCTCCAGGCTCCTCCTCCCAGTGCCCCCTCCTCTCTCTTCCCCTCCAAACACCAAACTTGGGACTGACCCAGGCTGTCCCACTGTGGCACAGGGTTTTCTCTCTCATCCCACAGAAGATTTCCCTGAAGCAGCAGCAATTGTGGGGCAGGGCTGACCCCAACTTCACCTCCAGGTATGTCATTACTCAGACTGGCGGGCGGCCCAGGATGTCTGTGGGGTTCTCTTAACAGGAGCCAGGAAAGCAAAACCAAGTTTGAGACGCCCCTTTCTTGGAAGATGGTAAGGTAAGAATGATTAACATAGGGAGGGTAGCCCGGCCGGTGTGCTTCAGCCATTGAGCATCCACCTGCGAATCAGGAGGTCATAGTTTGATTCCTGTCAGGGCATGTGCTCATTCTTTCTACTGAGACACCATTGTACAATAACCAACAAGTTCCTTTTGCTTTCCAGCATAAAGAAACCCACAATGTCCACCATCACCGTGGACATAGCCAACAAGGAAATTTCGTGCGTGGACCTCCAGCCACTGGTATGTCCCACGCCTTTGCCACCCCTATCCTTTGTCATTGGTGTTACGTTTGACGTCTGACGTTTCCCTGAGGGGCTGGCCAAGCCCACATTCAGGATGTGGAAAGGCAGGTGATCCTCCCCAGTGCTGGGTCCTCCCCCTCCTCAGCTATCGCCCAGGGCTGCCGCTCATGAGGACCACCTCGGAGCAGATGCATCAATCCTGGTCCTTGTGGGTCACGTGCCGTCAGCCCCTGGTGACTCAGCTAACAGCTCCTAAGAGAAAAAACTGGTTCTGGATTGGTTGGTTTGCAATGGAGGACGGTGTTCTCGGGTGAATATTTGCCATCTATATGAACTAGCCAGCCCTGGGGGGGGGGGGGGTCCTGTCAGCAAGGCCCCAGGTGCCAGGGCATCAAGATGACAACGAGAAGAAAATATAGTCACTGCAGTGGTGAGGGCACTAAGAAGATGGACCCAAGGAACAGAACACCCTCCTTGGCTCAGTGGATGGAGCGTCGGCCTTCGGACTTAAGGGTCCTGGGTTTGATTCCAGTCAAGGACACATGTCCAGGTGCAGACTGATCCCCAGTAGGGGGCGTGCAGGAGGCCTCCGGTCAATGGTTCTTTCTCATCATTGATGTTCCTCTCTCTCTCTCTCTCTCTCTCTCTCTCAAATTAATAGAAATATATATTTAAAAAGATGCTAAAGTTTATATTGTCTATTTACCACAATTTTTAAAAAGTTGATACAAATCTTGCATTCTGTTTATGGTTAAGCCCATGTTTGTCTTTTCAAATAACAGTCTCCCTGTCCTGTGGGTTTAGGTTCCCTAGTAGGTCACTGAGGGTGCCGCCACACCCCAGTTTCAGAAGCACATCCCTAAGGCTGTCAGGCTGATCCCATGTTGGTCTTTCTCTTTTCTCCTTTCTGTTTATTCATTGTAACCTCTTCCCCCCTCCCTCCACCTCCCTTCCTCCCTTCCTCTCTCCCTACTTCCCTTGTGCTGTGTATACCAAACACTGTGCAGAGTTTATAAATTGGGTTCTGGTCTCTTCAAAACTCCTAAGAGCTAGGTCAGCAGTGGGGGGACCTCAGCTGTGTCCCAGTGCTCAGCAGGCTCTTAGGGCCCGACCTCCGTGGGGCCAGTCATAGTCACAGTGAGCTCCTGTGCCAGTGTGTCCTGACTGTTCTTCTGTGTGGCTGGGCTATTCATGGCCCTCACTGATCTGGTTCTCTCCCTCTCTCTCTCTCTCTCTCTCTCTCTCTCTCTCTCTCCAGACAGCGCTCATTTCCATTGGCTGTGACTTGAAGAAAAAGATCGTTGTTCAGAAGTAAGTGTGTTACTGCCATTGGGGTGGTGGGGGGTGAGGTACAGGGATGGGGTGGGACTGGTCACCATGGCACCACAGTTGCTGGAGTTGCTGCTGCATCTTGTGTACCCGTGTCCGCTCACCATTTCCACCATAAACAGGCTCTAGTCTATGCTATTGGCTTAGGTTGGAGTTTCTTGCCCAGTGGTCCTCCTCCTTCACCAACTTGGTGACATTCACCAAGTCATTTTGCTCATCCTAGTCCTTTCTTTGAATTCCTTAATTTCTCATTTTAATCAAAATCATGCCAGGTTTTTTGTTTTCATTGCTTGATGAATATTTTGGGAACTTTGCCTCTAGTATCCATCATTACCACAGGGAATGAGGCCATGAGAATCCAAGAAAAAATTGTTACACCCAGACTTCGTGATCCCCAAGGACCACCAGGGAGCCGAGTCCGATGCAATAAACAGAAGAGCCTGTTCCATGCTAGCATGGGCTCCTCCCACTCACGCCAGCAGCATGGCGGAAGAGAGCGAATTTCGCCCAGTCCAGGGGTTTACTCCGGTCGGTGGTGATGTCACTGCCTCGGCTAACCCTGATTGGTTGGGTGAGGGCTAGGGTTCAGTTACAGAATGGAGGATAACTCCGCCCTGCTCCACAGTGGAGTGAGGAGCCCACCCTCGCCCCGCCCTGCCCTCTCAAAATAAAGTCTGGCCTGGCCGGCATGGCTCAGTGATTGAGCATCAACCTAGAACCAGGGGGTCGTGGTACGATTCCAGGTCAGGGCACGTGCCCAGGTTGCAGGCTCCATCACCAGTGGGGAGCGTGCAGGAGGCAGTCAATCAATAGCTCTCTCATCATTGATGTTTCTATATCTCCCTCCCTCTCCTTTCCTCTCTGAAATCAATAAAAAAATATATAATCTAAAAAAACAACAACAAAGTCTGAAGATCGGCCAAATTACCAGCCCTTTGCCCTTCAGGCAGGGTCAACCTAATCTGCCAGCACCCCTGGTGGAAGTACTCCCAGGGCCCTGGCGTTGGCTGCCCCAGGAGCCGTCCACACTTTGCAATTGGCTCCAAGACTCATCAGGACCGGACTTGAGCGCTCCCTGCACAAGGCAATTACACACTCAGGTGCTGACCCTCCCCGTGGAAACACTTTATTGAAGCAGCAAATTGCTTATTTAGAACACGTGTGCAGGATATGTTCTTAGCACAATATTTAAAAACTTTTGCCTTAGAGAGTGGGGAGATATTTGCCACAAATGTAACCAGCAAAGGGCTTGTAGCCAGAATTTATAAAGGATTCTTACAAATCAATTTAAAAAGGGAGAGAGAAAGCCCTGGCAGGGTAGTTAGAGCGTGGTCCCGATATGCCAAGGTTGTGGGTTCGATCCTGGTCAGGACACATACAAGAAACAGCCAATGAACACACAAATAAGTGGGACAGCAAATCCGTGTTTCTTTCTCTCTTGTTCCCTTCCTCTACCTGAAAATCCATAAATTAGAGAGAGAGAGAGAGAGAGAGAGAGAGAGATAAATGAACAGACAAAAATGGGCAAAGGCACGTCTAACCAAGAAGGCTGGCGAGCGTGCTGAGAAGTTCGATCCCAGGCCCATAAAGGAAGCAACCAATAAACGTGTCTCTCACCAGTGTTTCTCTCCCCGGCCCCACCTGCCTCCCCTGTCCTCTCCCTCCATGCCACTCTCTGTAAAAATCAATGGAAAAATATCCTCGGGTGAGACAGGCCTGGAACTTCTAGGAGAACCAGAAAGAAAGGACTTGAATGTCAAACCGGTGGGGCTTATATGTCACAGGGAAGACTTCCTGCTGCTTGGGTTCTGGGCGGGGTCAGCAGCTCCTCACCGCCTTTGGTTGCTTTTCAGGGAAATCTCAGCCTGTTACAAAGGCTACCTTGACCCTGTGGCCCTTCAGGACAATTACAGCTACGTCATCGAGAAGTGAGCCGAGTTTTCCTTCGCCCCTCCCTCCTGTGACCACCCCCATCTTACAGACCCTGCCCTGCGCTGCCAGCCCAGGGAGCCCGGCCGCCTGCTCTTCTGAGCTCGGAGTGTGGGCCAGACACCGGCAGCCAGAGCAGGAGGGGGTGGCGAGCCAAGCTGCACCCCCAAGCGGGCATGGGAGGGGCTCGGCCTTCTCAGCCCCAGGCTCGGGGAGCCCCTCTGTGCTGGTGCAGGCCCCCCGCTGGGAGAAGCCATGGCCTTGGACACACGCCCAAAGTCGGTCAGCTGTCCAGGGCCACAGCCAAGGCCCAAAAAGGCCCAAATTGGGCTTACTGACCAGTGTGGCTACAGTCAGACCTCGTGAGGCACAAAGGAATGTGAGTCAGGGGTCTCCACGGAAAGAGGAGCAACAGGCTGTGTGAGACACAGAGAGACAGCGAGGGAGGGAGGGGGCGGGAGAGAAGGCACACGTTGTTCCTATTAAGGCCTTTGAATGCACCTGCATTGGGGAGGGCACTCTACTGAGTCCAACTGATTGAAATGCTAATTTCGTCCCCAAAAGCACTCTCATGGAAACATCAGAAAAATGCCTGACCACACCTCCAGGTTCTGGAGCACAGCCAAGCGGACCCCCAGAGTTAACCCTGACCCCCTCCTCAGATTCCCCTCCACTGGAAGCAGCTGAGCCTGGGAGGAGGGGGTGGGGGCATCGGGGCTGCCCGGAGGGACCTCACCCCTGCCCCCTCTCTGCTCAGGGAAGCCTACGACCGCAGCTTCCGGGGCCAGAGGGCCACCAAGGACCTGCTGGTGCACTACCCTTACGAGAAGCTGGGTTGTCCCCTCCTCATCCACTACGACAGGCCCTGGAAGCCCGTGGTGGAACTGTAAGCTCCCTGCTCCCCGCTCTCCGCCCTGCCTGGCCCTTCAGGGACCCCCATCGCCCTTGGGTAAAGCTCAGTCTCCCCTCAGCCCTCTCCACCCGTCTCTCCACACAGACACACACACACACACACACACACACACACACACACACACACCCGCCTCTCCTGTCCCCATTCCCATCCTCCCTACCCCCGGCCCCTCCAGCCCTCCTCCAGCCCCTCCTATCTCCTGACCCCTCCAGTCCCACAGGCCCTGTGCCCACCTGTGCCCTCTCCCTACCCCGTTCTTGCCTTTCCTCCTTAGCTCTCAGCTCAGACAGCCCCTGTGCGCCCACCGTCTTACCTCCCTCGGCCATGACAACATTCCAGGGACTGGGGGGCTTAGACGTCAGACATGACTCTCGCAGTCCTGGGGCCCGAAGTCCAAGAACAAGGCGCCGGCAGGGCGGGTTCCCCACGGCCTCCCTGTGTGTCCTCAGGTGGCGGGAGCCAGTGAGCCCCTCGTCTCCTCTTCCCCCGGGTCAGGGCCCACCTCCAGAGTCACCTGGGGGTTAGGGCTCCAACATCAGAACTTGGGGGGACACACTTCCGTGTCATGTCTACATTTTTACGAGTGATGGATGGTCCGGTAAGGTCACTTCAGCACAGACCCGGGGGCTGGCCAGGTCTCTGCGGTGGTGGAAATGCCCATCACCCTGGGCCACCAGGTGGGCAGCCGGGAGCTCCAGCGGCCCCTGGGCACTGGGCACGCAGCCTGGGCACCGGGCGTGCCCGCTGCTGGGTGGGAGCGAATTGAAAGGAGCACACCTGGGGCACATCCCAGACTACGAGGCGGTCCCAGACGGAACGCGCACCTGTAAGCCTTGGGCTCGTCAGCCCATCGCGTCTTCGTTCCACCTGGTCCCAGTCCACGCCCCGGGAACGCCCCTGCCGGACACACAGCCTGAGCCCCAACCCAGAGCTGCCACGTGGGTGTGTGAGCGGGGTGGGGGCAGGGAGGGTCTGGTTGGAGGAGGTGAGCTCCACGCTGGCGGGAGCCACAGCGGCTTAGCACACACAGCCCTCATTCCCAGCCCAGATGGCTGCCTGCTGCACACTGGCAGCTGCGGGCAGGAGACTCTCAGGGGGCTGGTGTGAAGGGTGTCACTCATGGCTTATTATTAATTAATCGATGCCTCTAACAAGTGACATCATTCGGCAATAGGACATCACAGTCGTTTCTCCCAGGCTCTGTCATTTGTCTCCTCCCCAGAGACCCCAGGGAACTCGTCAGTGCCTGCCCCCTTCCCCCTGTCCTACCTGCCTCTGCTGCGTCCACCGGGTGACCATCTGCGACTGTCAGGGAGGGGGCTCCTCTTTGCTGCTCACACGCCCCCAGAAGGGTCTCCTAATCCCCGGGGCTGCCTCCTCCCTGCGCGCCCCCAGCGCTCTGTGTGCATCCTAGGTGGCGGGAAGGAAAGTTCCAGGAGGTTGTGAATGCCGAGTACGTCATGCTGGAGGTGAACGGGCTGTTCACGTACACGTACTCCCTGACGGCGGACTCCGCCATGTGCAACTCCCAGCCGCAGAACTGGACCACCATCCGGGGGAAAGCCAGGGGGCGGCCCTTCGCCTGGGACCGAGAGGTAGCAGTCCCTCCCCCGTTCTTTCCACACCACCCAAGTCACCAGTCCCATGGTGACCACAGAGCACACGCACCCAGTTAGGGTTATCTGGGTCTGTCTGGCTGCTGGCACAGAATACCAGAGCCGGGCGATGGACAGTAACATTTACTCTCTCCATCCTGGGGGCTGGAGGTCAAGGTCAAGGTGCTGCAGACCCGGTGTCTGGTAAGAGGCCACCTCCTGGTTCCTAAGTGACTGTCCTCTCCCTGCACCTCACGGGGCCGGGGGGAGAGGTCCTTCCGTAGGGGCACATCTTTAGGATCTAATTTCCTCTCAGAGTCCCCATCTCCTCGCACCATCCCCCTGGGGGTTGGGTTTTAACATGTGAATTTGCGGGGGGGAGGGGGGTGGAAACCAGTATTCAGTCCACAGCAGGTGGGGAGCACAATGGCGATGTAAGACCTATTACTTCTTTGGCAATCTCTCCCGAGGGCTTTGGCCAAACATTCAGAGCTGTGGGCATTGCTGATCATGTTCTAGAACCACCCAAATGCCCCTTTCTAAGGGGCTGACCACATTCCCCTCAGCGAGCATTTCTATCATGCGCATTGGTTTGTACACAATGGACACACATATGTCAGGGAACAGAAGAAATGGCATCAGTCCTTTGGGATGCACATTGATAATGTCCATCGACTGAGCCCCTCAACTCCAGTGTCGCTGTCAGGAGGCACAGACAGCGCAACGCAGCACCACTACTGAGGGCGATGCTGGCTTCCCACACCTGGGCCCACTCCTGCCTGCGGATTCTTGGCTCCTTTTTAACATCCTCACTGGAGGACATGGGTTTTGTTTCAATGATTTTTTAGAGAGAGGGAGAAACATTGATGTGAGAAACATCCACTGGTGGCCTCCCCTACATGCCCCGACTGGGGATCAAACCCGCAACCTTTTGGTGCATGGGACAGTGCTCCAACCAACTCCGTCACCCAGCCAGGGCGTGGCTCCTTTCTTTATACCCCCTCCTGTCATGTGAATTTGGTCATCTGTTTTGTCCGTGACATTGGTTTTACTTGTGTGGGGTTTTGTTTGTTTGTTTTAAATATATGTGTGGGTTTTGTTTTGTTTTTTGTTTTTTTACTGAGAGGATGGGAGAGGGATAGAAACATTGATGAGAGAGAGACATTGATCAGGTTGCAGGCACATCCCCCTACTGAGCATGTGCCCGCAACCAAGGTACATGCCCTTGACTGGAATCGAACCTGGGACCCCTCAGCCTGCAGGCCGATGCTCTATCCACTGAGCCAAACCGATTGAGGCTGTGTGGGTTCTTTGTACCGCTGTGAAATTCACAGGACACAGTGAGGTTTTAGAGCACACACTCACTCGACTGTACATCCACAATGTTGCACAAATGCCGGGAGAGCAGAGGGAGGGGTGAAGCTGACTGGCGCCCATAGCCGCCTCCAGAGGGATCGGGAGCACGGGGCCCACCCAGGGAGCACGGGGGCCTGGCCTGCCCCCTGCGTGGTTGGGGAGCGAGGGGGGCCTGGCTGTGGTGCTAGCAGGCCAGTGGGCACCCCCTGTCCTCCTCCCAGAATTACATGAGCTGCCACCAATACATCAAAGACTCTCCCTTGCGATGGCCGAACGTCCCATATCAGATCATGGGAGGTCCAACAGACAACAAGATAATTTTTGACCAAAGGAATGGCATCTATGTCTTTCTCATTTCTATCGTGGATCCATACTACAGGTGAGTAGGGCGGGGGTGGGGGGATCCACCCTGTGCCCAGGGCCTCTGGGAATGGCTGGGCACTTCACACATGTGGGAGTCGCCCTCTCATGCCACATCTAATGATGTGAAGGAGCCAACTCAGAAATGTTCGGGGGCTCTGTAAACCAGTGGACTTGGAATTGGCCATGGTGGAAGTATTTACACCAGGGGAATCAGCACACACTATCAACCAGCACTCTCCCACCCCAAAGCTGGTGGTTGAACACTTAGCCACCCATGAGGCCTGAGAACCTCCTAAGTCATATCTGGATCATCTGTGTCTCCCACTGAGAAGGGGATTATGGGGGCCCATTCTCTCCATCATCTATCCCTTTAAGACTGGTACAAACTCCACCCCCCAAAGCATGTGGAGTCCCTGACTTCCCTAGAGGCCCCACACCCTGGACCAGAGGAACTAGCTCTGAGATGGCACTGGGCTAAAGGTACAGGGGTGGGGACACCCAGAGGAGAGAGGGGGCTACCTGTGAGATGTGTCACCTCCTCCTCCTCCACCTGCTTCCAGTAGAGCCCTCAGCGAGTTCTCCCAACCCCTGGGCCCCCTCCCGGGGTGCCCATCCTGCCCATCCTGCTGGCCGCCAGCCTCATGGATGCCTGTGGCTGTCGTCCTGCCCCCCTCTCTGCTTCCACGCTGTGATGGAACCTGGACATGGAGCAGGGGGCCCTTTGTACCCAGAGCAGGGGACTCCAGGGGTCCTGACATGCCCGCTGCCAAAATACACAAGAGGGAGATGGATAAAGTTGAGTGGATATATATAGGACTTGCCATCCTGGTGCCAGTCCAAAGCCCTCATCTCAGTGTTTTCTGGGTAAACGCAAGGCCCCTGAAGGCAGTGCCCCGTGGTCTCTCCCCACCCACCCCTTTCAGCTACTGTCACCTGACAACCATCTTCAGCGTCTACGTGTACGGGGCCTTCCCACTGCCCTTCTCTTGGCCTGAGATCACCATTTTCCTGCTCATGAGTTCCATCCTGCTGTCTGTGTGGCTGGCCTACATGATCCCCAAACAGCTGCACACGGAGGAGGGTCGCAGGTTGAGAGGGTACTGGGTCAGTCTGCGCAACAGGTGCAGAAGGTCTTGTGAATATTTCCAATGTAGGCACTGAGCGTGCAGTGGAGGCTCAGAATTGTCATAATAAAATGCATACAAAAGCAGGTGGCGTGAGCATCAGTCATGGGTGGTGGTTTGCTGACACCTATTTGCATTGCCTTCCTCAATATGCTGCTGTTGGGGTTCCTCTCGATGGCAGCACCTCCATTGGCTGTAACAGGCAGGAGGGGGCGGCCCAAGCACTAATCGAGAGGCGTGGGTGACGCAGACCAGCAGGCACAAGTGAAGTGACAAACGGGCCTCAGCAGAGGGTGAGACAGTGACATGTTCTGTTAGAGAAAGTTAAGACCCAGGAAAAAGCAGCGGAGTCCATACACTGATTGATGAAACTACGTATCTGTGTTTATAAACCCTAACACATGTACAAACATAAATAGCCATGCCTTGTATGAACATGTATACAATTTTAAAGAATGGATGTTATTTATACAAATGCTTGTAGGTTGTGTGCACACATGTATACATACATATCTATACACACGTGTGTGTGTATTATATATAGGGACGTGTGTACATGCATACATAGGTTTATATAATAGGTATACATATGCATGTCTGTGTAATATGTATACACAAGTATATATGTGTGTAGAGAGGTAAGCATACATGTTTACATACATATTATTATGGCTGTGTATATACATAAGCATGGGTATATACCTATAGGCAATGTAAATACATGCATGTGCATACATATGCACACATTACGCGTGTATAGATAATATCTACATGCATATATATCCACAAACATGGAAACATACATGCATATGTGCATATTTATATGCATGTGTATGGGTTGTGTGCATATACATGTGCAAACATATGCCTGCATGCAGATAATACGCACGTGTGTGCACATACACACATGTATACATGCACATATTTGTGTGGTGTATGCAGTCATATATACATATGTATATGTACATGTGTGTATAAACTGTGTGCGCAACATATATAGGTGTGCACACATATGTGCATGCATGTAGATAATGTGTGCATAAAGAGGGTGGGGCAAAAGTAGGTTTATAGTTGTTTCTATGGAAAATAATCTCTCTCTATAAACCCTAATATGTAAAAAGACCGAATGGTGGAACAACTGAACAAAGGGTCACTATGACATGCGCCAAACATTAGGGGGTGCACATGGAACATGGTGGGCAACAGCAGCAGGTGGCAGAGCATGGAGCGTGGTGGGCATTAGCCGTGGCAGGATGGTGAAGCAGGTGAGCGGGGGTGCCAGACCAAGGCAGGGCATCAGTCACTGTCCTCCGGGTCAGCCTCTGGCGGTTACTGAAAATTCTTTGCTCCCGCCTGCCACAGCCCCGCCAGGCATTCGCACCCATAGCCAGCACCTGCCCCAGTCACCCGAGGGCTTCAAGGGCGATCCAGGGCAGCAGCCGATTTGCTCCCACCTGCCTCGGTCCGCCAGGCACTCACAGCCGCTGCCAGCACGCTGGCCCCAATGGCTCTGCGCCATCCGTGTGGAACCAGCGGTGGTGGCAGGACGGCCAGGAGATGGGGCAATGGGGGCTATGGCAGGAGGGGCTGGCTGGGGCGCAGAGGATGGGCTGTGACCCGCCCCTGTGCCTACTGCAGCCTTGCGGCCCACAGTTCCTTTCAAGGTGCACGAATTCTTGCACTGGGCCCTACGATAATTTTTTTAAAAAAAGCAATACCTAATTTTGCCACACCCTGTACACATAAAATGTACAGATATACTCTTTCCACCCATCTATCCATCAGTGGGAAGGCACCACTTTGTCATAAATCCAGGTGGCATGGGGCAGCTATCTTATTGTCAGTGAAAACTTGGGTGGTCCCACGACTTTTCCTGTTTACTCGTAAGTTAAAAATATATTTGTGGTAATCTAAATTGCCCACTGCAGTCATGGAAACTTCCACTGCCAGACACAGTGAAGTAACCACTTACACCCCCCAGGGCTGAACAGATGGCCCCGCCACCTACCCCTGCAGCCTCTCTGGAGGGGACGTTTGGTTGTCAGTGACACTGGATTCTGTCCCTGGTTTGCATTCACATCAGAAAAACAAGCTCATCATCCACCACCTCCTTTGCCAGGCCTTCCCTTCGTCAGGGACACTTGATTTTCATGCCAAAACACCCCACATGCTACCTCAGGGCTCGGGAGGAAGCCCAGGGAAGTGGGCTCCGGACTCCTCTAGGCCCATGTTCGGTCCAGAACAGAGATGGGACTGACACCGTGGGGACAAACGTAAATGATGCCAGTACCTGTGCAGGTGCAGGGGTGGAGGGGACAGTGCCCACATGGCATAGCTGTCTCCACTTCTTCCTTTTTAAAATGTGTATACACATATTTTAATCTCAGAGAGAAAGGGAGAGGGAGAGAAGATATCAATGATGAGCGAGAACCATTGATCGGCTGCTTCCTGCACGCCCCCCACTGGGAATGGAGCCCGAGACCCCGGCATATGCCCTTGACTGGAATCGAACCTGGGACCCTTCAGTCCACAGGCTGACACGCTATCCACTGAGCCAAACCAGCCAGGGCATAACTGTCTCCATTTCGCTGAGCTTTGCAATAGGGTTCGGGGAGATGAGCCATGTAGGCCCACGGCACCTCCGGCTTGGTGCCTACAGGAATGGGCAGGTGTGGTGCTCGGCGCGGGAGAGGCACCAGGTTTCAGCACCCCATCTGCCCTCCCTGGACCTGGCCACTTCCTGATTCCAGTCAAGCCCCTGACCACCACCACCCAGCCCAGCAGGCCTCCATCTCCCTTTGCTTCCCGATCCCTTCTATCAAGCATGTCAAACTCGTGGCCCGCAAGGAACATTTCTGCGGCCCAGGCAATATAACGGCATGCAAGAAACCTTTTAATAAAAACTTCATAACTTAATTTTTACAATATCCTGTTATACATCATTAATAATCAACTATAACATCCACTAATGACTGATCACTATAATCGTGCCGCATTCATTTCCCTTTACACGCCTTACGTGCAGGTGCACCATTTCTCTCCCCTAATACTAGAGCGAATATTTTAGCAGCCGATGGCCACGTCATTAGTCTTGTACTGACTTGTTTGGTGTGCACAAACAGGAATCATTTCACTTCTGGAGAACAAAAAAAATAGGTTTACATTACGCTTATTAATTTGTGGTTATTCAGTGTCTGGTAAGTTAATGTTCAAGAAAAAATATTTTTATTAAAATGTTTTCTAACGTTAACGATTACTCATTTATTTCAACCGTTTGTATTCAGCATGTCTCTCGAAATAAACCTACATTTCTATGAAAATTGGTTTTCTTGTTTTGTTTTGTTTTTGTGGCCCACAGAAACTTACTTATTTGGCCCGTGTTTGCCTTTGAGTTTGGCATGCTTGCCTTATGTGTTACCTGGGAAACCAAGTTGGCCCCTTCAGGCTCACCTCGAGGGTTTCGGAGGAGGCGGCTGTGGCTGGCAGCTGCCCCTGGAAAGGCTGAGGAGAGCCTGGACCAGACAGGGGAGGAGCTCCATGGGCCCGAGGAGAGACAGGGCGGGAGGGAGCAGGGTGAGATATGGACACCCAAACTCGGGACTCTCCCGTGCCTGCTGCTTGGGATACAGAACCTGAGTGGGACCCAATGGGGCGCCCAGCATACGAGGCCTGGCTGGATGCCTTCCCGGGACAGACTGCCCACCCGGCCTCTGGCTGTCACCCGGGCGCACTCCGCTGGTCCCCATCACAGGTGGCTTGTTTTTGGGTGCCACCTCCCACTTCCCTGCCCAGCCGCCACCCTCCGACCACCAGGTGCCTTCAGCTCCATCTAGCACTTGCCTCCACATGTCGGCCGGGACAGCGTGGGGTCCTTCACAAGCACCCCGGCCTTCCCATGCCTCTCACCCCCCGCCTGGGAGGTGGCTGAGGCGGAGCCCAGCTGAAACCCCTCAAAGGTTCCCTCCACGGACTGGCTTCACAGGGACAGAGGGGGCAGGGCTGGGGCCCGGCCTGCTTGCTGTGTGTCTCCCTCCAGGCAGGTTCCTGCCCATCTGAGCAGCTGGACTTTCCTCACCAAACATGGACGGGAGGAGTCCTTACAGCGCAGGCATCTGGGTGGCAAAGCCCTTTCCTTCTCCGGGGCCTGGACAGAAGGGCTTTAGAATCCCGAGCCCAGGGCTCCTCGCTCAGTCTGGGAGCCTGGCACCGGGAGGCGCGGGGTCCTGCAGGGCCTCCCCTCCAGGTTCGGGGCCACTGGCATTGGAGCAGGTGAGCGGGAAGCCCTTCAGGTCCGCCCCTGGCCCACTGCCCCCATCGCCGCTGAGCAGACGTTGGGCTGAGATCAAATCCGCTTTAATGGGGGGTGGCTCCCAGGCCCTGCCTGGGTCCCGGGGGACGGGGCGCTGGCCAGGCTCATGGCCTGCTTACTCTTGCCTCCTTGTCTCCCCTTTTTGGTGGCTGAGGCACCGGACTTCCTCTTGCTGGGAGGCTCGGCCCGAAGTGCAGGGGCCGCAGTGGAGGCGGCGGGGGGCCCCGGGCAGGGTGGTGGTGGCTCGTCGTCGAGCGCCTTGAAGTTGAAAAAGTAGTCCACGTTGGACACGGTGTCCAGGATCTCGGGCACGCTGTAGTCGAAGGACAGCAGCTCATCCGGCAGGTGCAGCGAGCGGATGTCGCTGGAGGAGTCGTCCCCGCCGCCCCCGCTGTCCGGCAGGGCTGGCCCCGGGGCCTTGCGCAGGGACCCCTCGGGCTCGGCGCCCCCCGGCAGGCAGTCGAAGAGCTTCATGGCGTCTTCCAGCAGCACCTTCTCAGGCAGCACGAAGGCCCTGGCGGCCTCGGGGGACCTGGCCTCCCCTGCCTCCAGCGGGGCTGCCTCTGCTGGGGCAGCCTTGGGGCCCCCGGGGCCTGGGGGGCACAGCGGGCCCGGCCCAGCGCCACTGCCCTGCAGCTCCTTGGCGGGAAAGACGAGGGGCTCCCCGGGCATGTGGACCTGGCTCAGGCGCCCCTTGAGGTGGCCGAAGCCCCCGGGGGGCGGCGCGGCCTCGGGAGGCAGCGTGAGGACGGGCGGCAGCTTGTTCTCCTTGGCCGGCAGCGGCGGTGGCAGGGGCACCAGGCCTTCCTTGAGCAGGGGCGGGGGCAGCTCCACAAAGGCGGGGGCCCCTCCATCCCCCATAAAGCTCAGCGCCTCCGGCCCGGGCCCCTCAGGGGGGAAGTAGGGCATGAGGTACTGGGGGCCCCCGGGCACTGGCTGGAAATGGGGGTATGGCGGCGGCGGCACCGGGGCCTTGAGATAGTGCTGGGGCTCGAGGAGGTAGGCGCTGGGTGAACTGGGGCCCCCGGCTGGCACCCCACCGCCCGCTGCTGCCAGCTTGTACAGGGACGACTGGCCGAAGTCGGTGGTGGCCCACT